TATTATTATTATTATTATTATTATTATTATTATTATTATTATTATTATTATTATTATTATTTTCTTTTTTTGAGTACCGTCAGCAAAATTTTGTTCAAGCACTATAAGACCAAAAACCGTGGATTTTTTAAAGTATTTTTTTTTTCTCACAATCAAGGTCAAATCGTTGATTTTATAAGCATATTTTTCCAAGGACCATAAGATCAAACAATGTTGGTTTCAAACATTTTTTCCATAAGGAGTGTTCGACAAATAATTTGAGATTTTTAGTAAATACTTTTCATGGAAATATATCGTGGATTTTTAAAGAAAATTTGTTCAAGGACATCAGATCAAAAATAGCGGATTTCTACGAAATATTTCCGCAATAACTATTAAATAAATAATCGTGAATTTTTAGGAATACATTTCAAGGACCTAAAGACTATTAATTGTGAATATTCTTTCCCAAGGTCAATGTCAAAAAATCATTGATGGTTTCAAGTGCCATCAGACCTAAAATAGTCGATTTTTAGTGAATATATTATTCCAAGGACCATGAGACTAATAATCGTGATTTTTAAAAAAAAAAAATGTTCTCTCAGTAACTCTTAGAAAAATAATCGTAAATTTTTAGAATTACATTTAATGACCTAAAAACTACTAATTGTGGATTTTATAAAAACAACATTTTTCATAGAGCCATTAAAATTTTGTTTCAAGGACTTTAAGACCAAAATCCATGGAATTTCAAAAATATTTTGAAAAATATTTTTTTAAGCATTTTTTTCCAAGGAATAGCAGAGAAAACAATGTTACATTCAAAAAAAAGTTTTCAAGAAATGTTCGACAAATAATCAAGGATTTTTAGTAAATATTTTCCATGGATCAAAAATTGCGGATTTTCAAAGAATATTTGTTCAAGAACTTGGTCTGATGTCCTTGAACAAAAAATTATGAATTTTTAAAAAATATTTTCTCAATAACTATTAGAAAAAATAATCCTGAATTTTTAGGAATACATTTCAAGGAACAAATGGCTATTAGTTGTGATTTAAAAAAATATATTGTTTCAAAAGCCTGAAATTGTCGATTTTAGTGAAACAGACCAAAAATCATGGATTTTTAAAAAATATTTTCTGAATGTCTTTTAGAAAAATGATTGTGAATTTTTAGGAATACGTTGCAAGGACCAAAAGGCATTCAGACAACCATCAGAATATTTTTTCAACGGCTATAAGACTAAAAATGGTGAACAAATAGTAGATTTTTAAAGCAAATTTTACCAAGAACCATCAGACTAAACAATATTGGTTTCAAAATCATGGATTTTTAAAGAAAATTTGCTCAAAGACATCACACAAAAAGTCGTGGATTTTAAAGATAATTTGCTCAAGGTCACAGTCCACAAATCGTGAGTTTTTTTTAACAATTTACTCAAAGACATCAGACCAAAAACCGTCGATTTTTAAGGAAAATTTGCTCAAGGACATCGGACCGAAAATTGTGGATTTTTAGGAAAATTTGCTCAAGGACATCAGACCAAAAATTGTGGATTTTTAAAGAAAATTTGCTCAAGGATATCAAACCAAAAATCGGGGATTTTTAAGAAAATTTGCTCAAGGACCTCAGACAAAAAATCGTGGATTTTTAAAGAAAATTTAATCAGGGACATCAGACCAAAAATCGTGGATTTTTCAGAATATTTGCTCAAGGACATCAGACCATTTTTGATTTTTAAAGAAAACATTTCAAAAGAAAATTGGACCCAAAAACGCGATTTTTTCAAAAACGCGATTTTTTCAAAAACGCGATTTTTTAACCACTCAAATGAAAACCTTTACATAGGGGCTATACAAAACATGGTGGTGGATAAGATACGCTGTATTAAAGATTACCAGCTTCAAATACGAAATTCGAAACAAATCCGGTGAATAATGTCGTATAAAGAGAGGTACCGTTGTATGGGGGCTATACTAAAATTTGGAACAGCATAGACAATTTTCTGTCATTGATTGTAGTAACCATTTTGTACTTTAAATACGAAATTTCATGCAATTCCGGCGTATAAGGTCGCGAAAATTCTGGAAATACCGAATATATCGGGGTAGCGTTATATAGGGTGAGATAAAAAACTGCAACAAAGTCAAGTGCCATAATATTAACATTTTTTTAATTTTATTGAATGAAAGCAAAAAATGTCGGAAATAGCATCAAACTTTAGAATAAGTTCAGATTTGTTCGAATTGGTCACCTTTGGCACGAATTAAGGCCTTCAAACGGCCAATGAAACCGTCACACGCTGCCCGGACTTTGCTCTGCGGTATTTTGGCTCATTCTCGGCGAAGCGCTTGCTTGAGGTGATCGACACTTTGGTATTTTTTAGTGTCAACCTTGCTTTCCAAATTACTCCAGACAAAATAGTCCAACGGATTGGTATCCGAAGATTTTGGTGGCCATTGTGCGCTGGAAATGAAGCGAGGAACCTCATTTTACAACCACTCTTAGGTGGCGCGTGCTGAGTGCGCTGGTGCTGCTGCGACCAAAATCTTTGCGTGCCCAGGGCTCCACTTCAACTTTCTTGCCCATATTCGACGGACCCATCTGGCAACGCCATAACATTTGACAGAGATGTCACATCGCTTAATGACATACCGCGTTTGATGCGTCAGTCCAAGCAGATTTTTACGATGAACCAATACACGTCACGCGAGCGCTCTGAAATAGTTGAAATTTACATTCAACAGAAGAAGTCAATTGTGAAAACCCAACGTGCTTTTAAAACATTACAAAATGTGAGAAGTGCGCCTTCTAAGAACACCATTAAGCGTTTATACGAAAAATGTTCGACTGGTACGGCTCTTTCTAATCCGAAGAGGCCATATAAAAGTCGACCAAGGCGATCGGCCGAGAATATCGCTGCCGTACGAGCCAGTGTTGAGAGGTCCCCAAGAACATCCCAAAAACGCCGTTCTCAGCAGTTGGGCATGGCTCGGTCCACTTTACAAAGTATTATTCGCATTGATTTGCATTTGTTCCCGTACAAAATTCAATGTACGCAAAGAATGTTGCCTGCGGACAAGCCTCGTCGATTGGAATGGGTCATGGGTCCGTCGAATATGGGCAACCCTGTACCCAATTCGGGTTTAAATTGTGACTAAAACACCATAAAACCAGTGGGTACTGTCATATGGAATCTATACCAAAACATGGACTTATATGGCCCATTTTCACTAACAAAGGTCCTGCAGGCCTAAAACATCAAAATTTATCATCCTACATCACATAGTTCGGAAGCTAGAGTGATTTCCACTGACGGACGGACAGATATCGCCAAATCGACATACTATTAATTCCTGATCAAGAATACCCATACAATCTTATCTAATTTGCGATACTATATATTTTTTTAAAGATTATTACTATTATTATTATTTTTACAAGATCGCCTAATTAAAGGTTATATATATTTTACAATCATTAAATTTCACCCAGATTATTACATTCAAGTTATGAAAAAGTTCTCCAGATAATTCTAATGACTCAGCTGACGTCAAGTCTTGCAATTACAACATCACCACCGCACTATGGGTAAAAAGCATGATTTTTTGGCATAAAGTCATTTTTTTTTTTGGTTTCATATTTTGAAATTTAACTGATTTCCTAAATGTATATACCCATATTAGAAAAAAAATGTTTAATATCAATACGGGTGGCAACCCTTTTTTGCTGGCGAGCTTTTAAAGTCAGCTGTTTGAAAGTCACTTTGTTTTGGTACAACTGGCGGTAAAGATCAGCTAAGTTCAAGTGCTTCAGATTTGACAAAATTGAAAAAAAATAAAATGTGTAATTATGGAAAACGTTAGTGCAGGTATAAAATTAAGACGAGGTGCCCTTTTTGTCATAATTGTCTGTTGTTGTAATACTGTGAAATGTTTCGTTTATGTATAGCTTTATATAAAATCTATAAATTGTAGTTGTGTTCCGTGGAGTGTAACTTGTGAATGGCAAAGCATTGCAAAAAGGTATAAATGCCAAGTTATTAACAAAAGTGTGTTAATTAAGGAGTAACTAGCCTTTTTTGTTCTATTTTGTGCCAACAGATAAACACGTGTTTGTCCATGCAGCGCTTATTGAAATTTGGAGCAGCAACAATCGCTCAGAAGATGCACTAGTAAAATATGTGGTACAGAATATCAATAATATCACTTTAAATGAAGACCAAATGCGTTTGATATCAAAACAAGTTAAAAATTTTGTTAATTATATAAAAAAGCATTTGCCAAAGTGCATCCGTAAACTAGAGCGATTTAAAACTAAACATTCAAAATGGCTTAGCAAAAGTATAATTATTGTAATGAATGAGCAGTATGTTTCTCCAAATCATAAGTCATCTTGGGGGGGGGGGGCTTAAAAAATGAATACAAACCAAATTTCATTTCAATAGCTTCATAAACAAAAAAGTTGGGTCAAATCGGCTATATAGCAGCTATATGAAATAGTTCCCCAAATCATGTGAAAATTCGTAGGTCATCTTGGGGGCATAAAAAATGCATACAAACCAAATTTCACTTCAATAGCTTCATAAACAAAAAAGTTGGGTCAAATCGGCCAGATCGGCTATATAGCAGCTATATGAAATAGTGCCCCAAATCATATGAAAATTGGTAGGTCATCTTGGAAGCATAAAAAATGCATACAAACCAAATTTCAATTCCATAGCTTTGAAATTAGAGTTTATGCCAAAATAAACGTAAAAAAACCCATAGTGCACCGCCAGCCAGCCAGCAACATATCGTCCGAACTCTGTCTACCAATTTAATAGTACCACTTGACTCCTGTGGGTATAAGCGATTGAATGACTAATTGTTACAAACACAGCAACTTAAATGTCTGTGAGTATCTGTGTATTTGAAACAACAATAGTTGTTGCGTTAATGAGAATCTAATCTCTTAATAAAGTTCTAGTTATGAATCGCAGCGGGTAGAGATTTCAGTCAGTTACATTTTTTAATTCAAATGTTTCGGTTCGTATAGTTCCGTGTAAAGTAAAAAAACAAAAAAAAACAATTGATTTTCGGAACGAGATTTGCAAAAAATGTATCCGGCATTGACAGTGAAATCCATTGTGACGTTGCTGATAATTATCAGCGTTCAAGGATATGTTGGTGGTCATGTGCAATGTTAGTGTCATTGGAAATGGAAGACTTTCGCAAGAATTGCGATAACAAGGACAAAAACAGATTGAAAAATTTATATTTCTTAAAGAATGTATTTTTGATAATTAATGGACAATAAGCCAAATTCACAAACCAAAAATTAGTGCATTTTTAAACAAATTTTTCAAGGAAATCAAATAAAAAAGATGGTGAATTTTTAACAATATTTTCTCAAGGAGTATTAGTCGTTCTTTTTATAGTCATCGGACTAAAAATCGTGGACTTTGAAGATTTTTTTCCAAGAACACCAGTCCAGCAATTATAAATTTTTGAAGACCTTTTTTCCAACGATGGTCTGGACAAAAATCGTGGATTTTTAAAGACAATGTTTTATGAGCGGTCAGGCCAAAAATAGTGGATATTAAAATAAATGTTTTCAAGTACGAGCTGACTCAATTGCGGATTTTTAAAAATATTTTCTCAAGGATAATTGTGGATTTTTAAAAATTAGTAGGTTTCAATTTTTTTTCTCAAGGATTATTTGACAAATTTTCGAGGATTTTTAGTAAATATTTTCCATGGACCAAAAATTTTGGATTTTTTAAGAAAAAAAATCAGATCGAAACCACTAAAACGTTATTATGGGGAATTTATCATCGTTTTTAAATGCTGATTATGGAATTGAAGAAAATATAATTTAAAGCCGCAAAGAACTATTATATGGTTGAATATCCTCCACTTAACCAATTTCCACAAAATCCTTCTTATTTGAGCTGATATTACTCTTTTTAAGCACAATGAACATGAAATCGGATGAAGATATATATGGGAGCTATATTCCGATCTCTATAAAAATTAGCAGAGGTATTTTTATGCTGTAACTGATAGGTGGGACCAAAAATCGTTGTTGTAAAGAGCGGGTGTAAGGGACTTAAGTACAAAGGCGGATGAAACATGAATTTTTAAAGAGCTTTTTTCCAAGGATCGTCTGGACAAAAATTGACTCAACATTTCAAGAGAGAGAGAGAAATTTAAAATTTTTAAAGAGAATGTTTCAAGGGCGGTCAGGCCAAAAATAGTGGATATTAAAAAAATGTTTTCAATGACGATCTGACTCAATTGTGGATTTTTAAAAATATTTTCTTAAAGAGTATTAGACAAATAAATGTGGATTTTTAAAAAATAGTTTCGCAAGGACATTGTTTCAAATTATCGTGGATTTTAGGTAAAAGTTTTCAAGAACCTTTTAAATACTAATTGTGGATTTTTAAAGAATATTTTTATAGGAACATTGCATCGAAAAATCTAAATAAAAAAAAAACAAGTAAGCAAAGGCTACAGTCGAGCGGGGCCGACCGTTGAATACCCTACAACACTATAATAAACGATACAGTTTATATAGGCGAGATACTCGAAAGAACTCCACAAGATATTGTGACAAATTATAAAAGAAAACCATCAGGTTTCGTTCTCTAATTTCCGAATAATAGCAACTCAAACTAATTTGCTCATTTCCAATTTATTGGTAGATGTTGCACGTAAATGGTCTTCCTAGATCTGGAACCAATATTTTCCAAAGACCTATAATCTCTCAGAAGTGACAAAAGATTAACATTTATTATTGGTTTTTGACTGAAACGCATCTAAATGAGATACAGACATTTGACTATATTCTTCAACGAAATCAGCTTTAAGAAGTGTGTCTTTCCTGTATTTGTGAATTCTCCAAAAAGTCACTGGAATGGACATTTTCGTATTTTGTCTTCAAAATTTGGGAGACTATTTCAAACATTGAATATTTTTGGATGGCCATCCAAAACTGCTTGGCTTTTGCAATGCCCAGTAACCCCCATTCAAGTGTGCGTGAGGATCGCACATTGACCTGCTGACAATTTTGCAGTTTTTAGGTCCATTTCAACCCCTAAATATATGGCGATAATCTCCAAAAAGAGTAGGCTTCTATTCTGACCCTCATCTTATCTCCATGCTAAATTTCGTAAGGATCGGGCCATAAATGCGATCTGTATATGATATCCTTATATCCTAACTACTTAGTTTTGTTAGCTGTAGAAATATTACCAAATGTTTAATTCAAAATGAAAATAAGCCAAAAATATGACAAAATTGAAAAAATATGAGAAAATTTTACAAAATCAATATTTTCATCTTTAGAGAGATATTTATATGCAATTTTTTTAGACGTTTTTTCTTTCCTGCCAAGAGGCCATTCTGAATTAATGAGAACTGTCGAAATCAGTTCAGCCGTTCTCGACATATGAGAGATTTTTCACGCATATAAACATATATATCGCAAATATTTTGATATATATCCGTTTTGTTGGATTTTAACATCAATATAAAGATCAGAAGTAACCTTGTCATGGCTTTGTGATTTCGCCGAGATTTTAAATATTCGCGGTTTAATGAAAAATTTTGAATTTTTTCAACACAAAAGATATGGTCTATTTTACTCGCTAAATATTATCCGATGACCACCCAAATTGGTAGGCTTCTTCTCGTCGATTGGTCTATAATTTCGACCTGTATAGCTACTGCAAAATCCGACATTTTTTCAGTATTTGGTCCGTTTCAACCCCTAAACATTTGGCGATCATCTCCAAAAGAAATAGGCTTCTATTCTGACCCTAACCCCACCTTCATGCGAAATTTCGTAAGGATCGGGCCATAATTGCGATCTGTAGAGTGATTACAAATTAACATGGACAGACGGACAGACGGACAGACAGACAGACGGACGGACGGACATACATAGCTAGATCGACTCAGCTCGGCGAGCTAGGAAGATCCATATACACTTTCCTATATGGGAAACCAATATTTCGAGTTGTTACATAATTTTTGGGCCAATCAAACTTATAATACCCCCAACACATAGTGTTGTAGGGTATAAAAATGTATATAAAATATATCTTCTAAGGAGTATTAGACCAAAAATTGTGGATTTTAAAAGAGCTTTTGGCGGTCTGGCCAAAAAAATAATGGATATTCAAGAAATATTTTTCGAAGGATTTTGTATTTTTTAAAATATTTTCTCAGGGAGTATAAGACTATCAATCACGGATTAAAAAATGAATGAAATGAAATGGATTAAAGAATGAATTCTCAAGGACTTTTAGAAAAAAATATCATGGATTTTATCAAATTTTTTTTCAGGGACCAACGGACCAAAAATCTTTGAGTAAAATTTACGAATTTTTCATTTATTTTTAAGGAGAATCAACCAAAAATTTTAGATTTTTAAGGATATTTCTTCAGGGACCATTAGATCAAGAAATATGATTAAAAAAAATAATATTCTTCAAAGGACCTACAGTCCAAAAACGGAGAATTTTTGACAAATATTTTTCTAAGGACCAACAGAACAAAAATCGTTGATTTACAAAAAAAAAATTCTCCAAAGCCCATCAGACCTAAAATCATAAACTTTTATCGAATATTTTTCCAAGGACACTCAGGAAAAAAATTATGGATTTTTTAAAAGTATTTTCCGGAGGTCTATGAGACTAATAATCTTAGATTTTCTTTCAAGGTCAATTAGCCCAAAATAGCGGATTTTTAAGTAGTAATTTGTCACAGATCATCAGCTCATAAGTCGCGAATTTTTATTGGATATTTTTCCAACGACCACCAGGCCAAAATTCTTGAATTTTTGAAAGAGTATTTTCCAAGGATGATCTGTCAATAAATCCTAGATTTTTAAACAGTATTTTCCAAAGGACAAGCAGACTAATAATCATGGATTTTTTAAAAATATTTTATGAATATTTTTCAAAGACCACCAGAGGACTGAAAAATCGTGATTAATAATTTTTTCCGGAGACAAAGAGGTCAAAAATCTCGAATTTTTTTCTAAAGAACATAAGACCAAAAATTATTGATTTAAAGGATATTTTTCCAAGAACTAACTGGCAAATATCGTGGATTTTTAAAAAATATTTCTCCAAAGACAACCAGGTCAGAAATCGTGAATTTTAAAAGAATATGTTCCCAAGGATCAGATGCCAAACATTTTAATTGGATATTGTCCCAAGGAACAGCAGAGCAAAAATCTAGAATTTTTCAAAAGTATTATTTTTTTGAAGTTCAAATTTCCATAAAAATAATATTTTTGAAAAATTCTCGAGATGCGTAGAATCGTATCAGACTAAAAAAACTTACATTTTCAAAGAAAATTTTCCAAGGACGATCGGGTAAAAAATTGTAGATTTTTAAGCAGTATTTCCAAGGAGCAAAAGACCAAAAATCGGGGATTTTTAAAGAGTACCCTTTTAAAGAATACCTTTTTAAAGAGTACTAAAATCATGGACTTAAAAAATGATTTTAATAAATATTTTTTAAGAACTCTTTGGTCAGAAATCATGAAATTTTAAAGAATATTTTTCGAAGCGAATTCAGTGAAAAAATCTTGAATTTTTAAAGAAAACTTTCCAAACACCATCAGATTTAAAATCCAGGATTTTTAAAGAACTTGGACAGATCAGACAAAAAATTTGGGAATTTTAAAGAGTTTTCATCCAAGAATCATCGGTCCAAAAATCTTGGATTTTTAAAGAATATTTTTCCAAAGACCATCAAATGTAAAATTGCAATTTTTATTCGAATACTTTTTTCAACGACTAACAGATCTCAAATTGTGATTTTTAAGAATATTTTCCAAAAATCGTCCATTCCAAAAATTGAGAATTTTTAAAGAATATTTTTCTAAGGACAAATATATTGGATTTTTAAACAAAAATTATCCAAAGCTCATCAGGCCTAAAATCGTGGATTTTTAAAGAATATTTTCGAAGAACGATCAGGCAAAATTTCGTAGATTTTTAAACATTTTCCCCAGTACTAACAGACCAAAAATTGTGGAATATTACATTTCGAGGTCTATTAGACCAATTACCGTGATTTTTTTAAAAATATTTTTAGGGTCACCATTCCAAAAATTGTGGAATTTTAAGAATATTTTTTTTGAGGTAAATCAGCTAAAAATCACGAATTTTTAAAGGAAACTTTCCATCAGATCCAAAAATCTTGGACTATTAAAGAATATTTTTCCAAAGACCATCAGATCACAAATTGTGATTTTTAAAAATATTTTCCAAAAATCCTCCAGTCCAAAAATAGACAATTTTTAAACATTATTTTTCTAAAGGCCATCAGAACAAAAATTGTGTATTTTTAAACAAAAATTATCCAACCCTCATCAGACCTAAAATCGTAAATTTTTATTGAATATTTTTCCAAGGAAAGTCAGTCAAAAATCATAGATTTTCAAAGAGTATTTTCTTGAGGTATTTTAGACTAATTATCGTCGATTTTTAAAAAAATATTTTTCAAAGTCCATCAGGCCAAAAATCGTTGATTTTTTAAGAAAAAAAAAAAGACCACCGGACCAAAAGTCGTAAATATTTTTGGACACCAAGTCGAAAAATTGTATTTTTTTTAAGGAAAAAATTGGGGAAAATCTTTTATTTTTAAGGATTTTTCCATGGTTATTTAAATCGAAAACCCTGACTTTTTTAAAAAAATATTTTTTTTAAGAACCGTAAGCCGTGACCATAAATCCTGTATTTTCCCAAAATATTTTTATCAAGGACTATAGGATCCAAAATCTCGAAATTGATTTCAAAATGTTGTTTTTTCCCCTTCTCTAGATTCTCGCCATGAACTGCCGCCGTTGTATACCTTTGACAACTATGATGTTTGTTTGAACAATGGCAATTCAAAATTCGACTCCACCTATTGTATGGTCTATGCTGAAGTTCAGGCAGACAACAGCTCCGAGCTGTGGCACAAAATTGTCACACATAAAGAGCATAAATTCCATTATCATCATGATCGCCTATATTTTGGGGTGTGCTTGGAAAAATGTAGGGGATATTTGGAATCGTTGGAGCATGGTAATAATACTTACAATAATGCAGGCGAAGGATTGAATGAGGAGGTGAATATTTTGAAATGCTTTTTTGAATTGTCGTTCTAATTTTCTTTTTCCCCTCTAGATTACCCAGTTCATCGAATATATCCACAAAAGGCCATTGGATATTGAAATGCGCCACAGATATGGCATGGCCATACAAAATTGCTTGAATGACGAATTCGAAAGAAAATATGACCTGCAGTTGAAGACATTTGTGGAATACTGCGAGGGACCAGCAAAGGATACAGTTGCAGAAAAAGGTAAGAGAGTGACAAGAGGAAATTACTTTTTGGAAAATTTCTTTTGGTTCTTCCTTTGGCTTGAGTTCAGAATTGAAAAAACAGACGAATTTGTTGTTTATGTTTAATTTTATTTTTCGATATTTCGACTATATTTTTTTTTTTTGAAAAAAAATTGAAACTTAACAATGTAACCATAATTAAATGGGACTTTTTTTTCTTTTTAGTTTTAAATTTAATGGCACAGCTTCTCTACCTCTCTTCTTTAAACGCATATTCTCCAACTAACTTTTCTTGTGTTTTCAAATTGCCATTTTTATTTCCTTTCAGATCCGGCTGAAATTATTCTGTATAAGTTCCTTAAAATGGTTCTCCTTTTAGTGGTTCTTTCAACCATTTACGATTTTGTGCTAAGGTCCGACCAAACTGAGGAGAATCAAACAAATGACTTCTATAAAAGTAATCTTGAACAACCAAGTAAGTATTTTTGTTTAAAAAAAAGAGAAAAGAAATAAGTTCGGCCCGACCGGGAATTTTTTAAAATAATTTATTCAAGGACTTGGATTTTTTAGAAAATATTTTTTAAAGAGGTGGATTTTTAAAAAAAAGACATTTTTTTTAGAAAATATTTTTAAGGGCGTGAATTTTTTGGAAAATGCTTCTCAAGGGCGTGCAATTTTTAGAAAAGGACGAAAAAATAAAATATTTTTTCAAGGACGTGAATTTTTTCCAAAGAACGTGGATTTTTTGTAAAGAATGTTTTTTCAAGGACGTCGAATTTTGAAGTATAACCACTGTCTTTTGAAGAGGAAGGACTGGGACCATTTTTGTTCTAAAGTCACTTGAAGCTCATGTGTCTGTTAAATACCTTTAAAAGGTAATTTCCCTATGGAACAAATTCAGAAGCACTTCTGTCTTTTGGAACTCATACAGAAGTTCTTCCTTTGTTTAAGAGCTTCAGGACGTATTGCTTCTATATTTATTTAGCTGCCTTGGATCTATCTATTCAAGCACCTGGTTCGACATAGATTTTTTCATCAATATTTTCTCAAAGATTTGGACAGGGATATATTTTTTGTAGATATTTAGTTACAAACTTCTGGAAAGATAAATATTTTTTGAAGAAACTGAATAGTGGAAGGTTTTTTGAATGTCCTCCACCATTTAGAAGTAATTTGGAAGTTTTCAAAAAAAAAAAATAAAATTCGTTAAAAATTCTGCTAAAATCTTAAAAATACCGAGTAGAGGAAGTCATAAATACGAAGACGTGGACTAGCATAGGCAACTTTTGTCATAAGCCATTACAATATTCCCATACGAAACCTGAAAAAATCCGGTGAATGATATAGCTATAATCATCAAAATACCGAATATAGGTAGTAACCCATATGGGGGGTGCTATACGAAGACCTGGTCCTGCATAAATAATTCTCTGTTATAGACTGTAGTATGTTTTATAAACTTCAAATACGAAATTTGAAGCAATTCCGTTGAATAAAGTCGCTAAAATCATCAAAATACGGAATATAGGGAGATACCGTTATATGGGGGCTATACGAAGACCTGGACCTTCATAGACGATTTTCTGTCATAGGCTGTAGTACCTTTAAGGAACTTCAAATACGATAATTGAAACAATTTCGGCGAATATTGTGCCTAAAATCGACAGAATACCGAATATAGGGAGGTACCGATATATGGGAGCTATACGAAGACCTAAACCTGCACAGACAATTTTCTGTCATGGGCTGTACTATCCATTACGAATTTCAAATACGAAATATGAAACAATTCCGGTGAATATTGTGCCTAAAATCGTCAAAATACCGAATATAGGGAGGTACCGATATATGCGGGCTACACGAAGACCTGAACCTACACAGACAATTTTCTGTCATGAGCTGTAGTATTCATTACGAATTTCGAATACAAAATATGAAACAATCCCACGAATATTGTGCCTAAAATCGTCAAAATCCCGAATATAGGGAGGTACCTTTACATGGGGGCTATACGAAGACCTGGACCTGCATAGAAGATTTTCTGTCATAGGCTGTAGTACCCATTACGAACTTCAAATACGAAATATGAAACAATTCCGGTGAATTTTGTGCCTAAAATCGTCAAAATACCGAATATAGGGAGGTACCGATATAGGGGGGCTATGCGAAGACCTGAACCTGCATAAACAATTTTCTGTCACATGATGTAGTACCTATTAGGAATTTCAAATATGAAATATGAAACAATTCCGGTGAATAATGTCGCTAAAGTCATAAAAATACGAAATATAGGGAGGTACCTTTACATGGGGGCTATACGAAGACCGGGTCCTGCATAAACAATTTTCTGTCATAGACTGTAGTACCCTTTAGGAACTTCAAATACGAAATTTGCAACAATTCCGTTGAATAAAGTCGCTAAAATCATCAAAATACGGAATATAGGGAGGTACCGTTATATGGGGGCTATACGAAGACCTGGACCTACATAGACGATTTTCTGTCATAGACTCTAGTACCTATTAGGAACTTCAAATACGAAAATTGAAACAATTTCGGTGAATTTTGTGCCTAAAATCGTCAAAATACCGAATATAGGGAGGTACCGATATATGGGGGCTATACGAAGACTTGAACCTACATAGGCAATTCTCTGTCAGAGACTGTAAAATCATCAAAATACGAAATATAGGGAGGTTCCGTTAATTGGGCTATACGAAGACCTAGACAATTTGACCATTGACAATTTTCAGTCATAGACGAAATTTGAAAAAAAAAATCCGATGATTAATGTCCCTAATATCATTAAAATACCGAAAATACCGGGTACCGTAGTATGGGCGGTATACGATATCGTGAACCTTTCAGGAGGCAAAGTGCTTCGAAAGAACTCCTTGTGTGGATTTTCAGATAATTCCATTGAAAGATTTGACTACAATCCTGAAAATACCGAATATCGGGGCTACCGTTATATGGGGGCTATATGATATCGCGGTCCATTATAGCCCATTTTCGAACTTGACCTGCCTGCATACAAAGAACTAATCTGTGCTTAAATTTCGCTTCTTACCTTAATTCGTTTTGACTCTTGCGTGATTATAACAGACGGACGGACATGACTAAATCGAATTTTACGCTGATCAAGAATATATATTTGTCAGGTCTAAAATTATTATTTCGATGAGTTGAAAACGGAATGACGAACTTAATATACCCTCCACACTATGTATGGTGGAGGGTACGAAAATAAACCTTCTGTTCAAGAACTGCAAGCATATAAAAGTTTTCACTATGATAGCCGATTTTCCCTTTACGATATCGAAAAAAATTGTAAAACTAGTAGACGTTTGGAGGTTCTGCAACAGACCAGATATCGAAAAAAGATTGTAAAATTAGTAGATTCTTGCAGGTACAGGAACATAGCAATTATTTTTTTTTTTTTTAATTGTAATTTTTTTCTCCTTCCCTAGTGTCCCGCCTGTTAACCTCATTCTCCATATGCCGCAATTACTATCGTCTCATCCAACCGTATCGCGGTGAGACTGGCAATGATTTCTCCTATTTGGACGGTTTCCGTTCCGTCTGCACCTTTATGGTATTGCATGGTCACACTTTCTATCTACAATTCCAACATATTCGTAATCCAGAATATTTTGAGAGTTTTGGCAAGACCTGGCATGGTCTGTTGGTATTGAATTCCACAACGGTTATTGAAATATTTATGGTAATGAGCGGTTTGTTGTTGTATGTCAAATTCACCGAGGGTGGCTATGTTACGCCGCAGACCAGTTGGAAGAAATGCTTGCAAACGTATCTCTTTATTGTCATAAGTCGTTTGATGAGGTGAGTTCGCAGAGTTCGAATAATGGAAATGTATGAATTGAATCTATTTTTTTAAGATTTCTACCCTCTGTCGCTTTGGTGGTATGGGTAAATGCAACAATTTTCGGTAACTTCAATGATGGCCCATTTTGGCGCCATGTCTCCGAACCAGGTCGGATTTTCAGTCGTGAAAATTGGTGGAAGAATGTATTTATGATCAACAATTTCTCCCAGAAATATACAGTAAGTCAAAATTGAAAAAACAATTGGTATGTTCTAGAACCTGCAGGAATCCACTTATTTTGCAATTTTTTTTCGATTTCATAAGGGGAAAATCGGCTATCATAGTAAAAACTTTTACATTATTGCAGTTCTGGAACAGACCAAATATTTTAGTTTTTATATCCCATGGCATAATTTGGTCTGTTCCAGTACTGCAAGAATGTACAAGTTTTTACTATGATAGCCGAATTTCCCTTTATGATATCGAAAAACAAAATCAAAAACTAGGAGATTCTTGAAGTTTCTGGAACAGCCCTATTGTTATTATTATTCAATCATGTTTCAAACTTTTGTTTATTTTTCATTTTTAGGTTAGTTCCCATACCTGGTATCTTGCGGCCGATTTTCAGTTGTTTGTCTTTTATACATTTGTACTGATATTTATTTCAAAGTAAGTAGCAACCTTTTGAAATCAGAATCCATAATTTAGAGAGTAGAGTCTCTAAATTTCTTCTTTAGATAGACGACCTCCATAGAAATGCAATATTTTGAAGTATTCTTTTGGAAACCTTCAAGAAATATTTCGTATTCAGAAGAACTTTAATAGATTTTCGCTAAATAGAAGTCCTTATACAAGTATTATATGTTTAGTATAAGTCTCGATTCGAGATGTGCAATACAATGATTTTCTCTAATATAGAGATAGATAATCTTCAAAAGGTCTTCCATAAATACACGACAAGCTACATGCCTTCAGTTACAATAATGACGTGCTACAGGGCATCTGGAAATAGAATAGCTGTCTTCCATTGAATTCCCATATTCACCTATGTAGATAAGTCCTTTCGATTATTGGACTGATGTCCTTCAGGTGAACATTTTTTGAAACCCCAGGATTATTGGACAGATATTCTTTGAAAAAAAATATTCCTTAAAAATTCACAATTATTGGACAGATGATCTTTGGAAAAAATATTTTATATAAATCTGGTATTATTGGATTGATGTTCTTTGGAAAATATTCCTTGAAAACCCAGGATTATTGCACTGATGTTCTTTGGAAATCCCAGGATAATCGGATTTGAAATTTCTTTTAAAAAATTCTCGATTATTGAGCAGAAGTTCTTTGGAAAAAATGTTCTCTAAAAAATTTAGAATTATTGGAGGTTCATTGCAAAAGTTTCCATTAAAAAAACCAGGATTATTGGCATGAAAAAGTTTTCTTTTAAAAATCCATGATCTGATGTTCTAGGGAAGAATGCTATTTACAAATCCACGATTATTTGGCTGATGGCTGATTCTTTTATATCCCAGGTTTTTTTTGGACAGATGTACTTTGGAAAAATATTCTCTGAAAATCCACGATTATTGGACAGATGTACTTTGGAAAAATATTCCTTAAAAACCTAGGATAATTGGACTTTGGAAAATAATCCTTTTAAAACCCAGGATTATTGGACTTTGGAAAATAATTCTTTTAAAATCCAGGATTATTGGAGTGATATTCTTTGGAAAACATTTTCTTTAAAAACCCACGGTTATTAGACTAATGATCTTTGGAAAAAAATTCTTTGGAAATCCACGGTTATTGAACAGATGTACTTTGGAAAAATATTCCCTAAAGACCCAGGACTATTTGACTGATGTTCTTGGAGAGAACGTTCTTTAAAGACTCACGATTATTGGAAAAAAGTTTTCCTTTAAAAATCCGCGACTATTGAACAGAAGTTCTTTGTCAAATATTCTATAAAAATCCACGATTATTGAACCGATGCTATTTCGAAAAAAAATATTTCAAAATACACGAACATTAGACTAAAGATCTCTGGAAAAATATTTTATACAAATTCACAATTATTGCTGAAATAGTCCTTAAAAAGAATTTCTTTGAAAATTTACAATTTATATTGTTGTGATAGACCTAGGAACTTATTCTCAAAAATCCACAGTTAAGGTGAGAATACATAAATGGCTTAACTAATCGGTTGGTTTCTTTGGAAAACGATAATGGAGCGTAGAGCCAAAATCGAACCGATTTGGTGGCCATTGAGCGCTGGAAATGAAGCAAGGAACCTAATTTTGTAACCATTCTTGGGTGGCGCGTGCTGAGTGTGATGGTGCTGAGTCCTGTTGGAATGTCCATGGTTTGCGCCCAAAATGTTGGCGTGCCCAATGCTTTAATACACCCTCCAGAATATTTTCGCGATAATATTCGGCATTTATTCTGACGCCACGGTCGATTAATTCGAGGGGTGAGCGACGATTGGCTGTTATAGCGGCCCACACCATCACCATGGCCGGCTTGAGGCTTGAGTTCTGGCCAACTGAAGGTGCACATTTTCAGCTGACCTCTTTGGCAAGCAACCACGATTATTTTGTTTGTTTACAAACTGCTGGACAACGAATGTTTTCTCATCGGAGAAAACCAAATTCGGCAGTTCACCATTTTCGGTCAAGAGAAGTAACTCTTTAGAGTCTATTTTCTTTCTGTTGTGGTGGCTTTACCCCGAGCTCATTTTTCAATACTGCGATATGTATAGGGGCTATACTGCGATATGTATAGGGGCTATACGAAGACGAGGACCTGCATAGACATAGGTTGTAGTAGCCATTACAAACTTCAAATACGATATTTGAAACAAATCCTGCATTTAAATTCTCTAAAATTATAAAAATTCCGAATATTGGGAGGTACCGTCATATGTGGGCTATACGAAACGTGGGCCTGCATATGTACTTTTTTGTCATAGGCTGTAGCACCTATTAAGATTTTTACATACGAAATTAACAAAAAATCCGGTGAATTATGTCCTTAATATCATAAAAATACCAAATAAAGGGTAGTGTAGGCTATATGAAGGCGTGGATCTGCATACGTGATTTTTTGTCATAGGCTGTAGTACCTATTACGAGCTTCAAATATGAAATTTGAAACAATTCCGGTGAATAATGTTGCTAAAATCATCAAAATACCGAATAGAGGGAGGTACGGTCATGTGTGGGTTATACGAAAACGTGGACCGACATGGACCATTTACGAACTTAACTTGTCTACTTGCAAAATACACTTGTGTGCAAAATGATAACCTTTAATCTCAATTCGTTCGAAAGACAGCATGATTAAAACGAACAGACGGACAGACATTGCTTAGGATTTTACCCTGATCCAGAATATATATAGTTTGTAGGGTCTATCTTGAGTATTTCGAGGAGTTACAAACGGAATGGCAAGTTAATATACCCTCCATAACCCAACAACAGGTATTTTTGTGATAGTCCTCGAAAACAGCTTCTGTAAAAAATTCACGTTGTCAGGTCCCTAACTTTTTGAACCGATTTTTCCTAAAAAAATATATTTTTAAAAATTCAGAATATTGCTGTAACAGTTCTTGATTTTTTTCAATTCACAATTTTTGCAGTGGTATCCCTTGAAGTAAAACCAGAGGAATTTCAGATATAGTAACTATTCCATTAGCTATATATAGATAGACGACAACTTTTTGCATCCTTTAAAGACCGGTTTTGTACTTACAGAAACCTAAACCATTTTCCTACTTTAACTGTCTTCTTTAATTTTCTCCATTAATTTTCTCTCTTTCAGATATCCCCAATTTAAGAAACGTATCCTCTATACATTGGCCATTTTATCGGTTGCTATACCAACACTGATTGGTTACATTTTGAAATTGGAATCAGCATTTATAATTAAACCAGAGTAAGTTCTATTATAACCATACGAATTAAATTAAAAGAATTAATATTTATCCTCTTTTGCAGGAGCTATCGTTATCAGTTTTTCATCGATTGCGATGTCTTCTACTATCTATACACACCCTCCTTTACAAATCTGGGGGGTTATCTCTTTGGCATTTGGTGTGGCGATCTCTATTTAAGCCAGCTGCGCAAGGAAGAGGTCCGACGCAAAGTCCGCGGTGTTTTGAAATACGAATTGGGTGCCTGGTTGGCATTTCCAATTGCCGCTTGTATTTGTTTTGCGGGCTCAAAAGCCATATTCCAAGAGCCTTCTATATGGACAGCATTGTATAGCGGTTTATATCGTAATCTTTGGATTGTATTTGTTTGTGGTTTCCCCCTTTTGGGTATGGCATGCCAAGGCGGAAGTAAGTTGTGATGGTTTTTTTAAACTTATTTTGGGGTACTCTAAAATTTTTCCATTTGTTTTGTTTGTTCCATTCAGTGATGGCCTATGATTTTTGCCGTTTACCCATATTCCGTGTCCTGGCCCGTCTATCGTTTCAAATGTATCTATGGCATGTTATGATTCTCCAACTGATGAATGGTTATCAGCGGGAGCCTTATTTTATGAATACCTGGTATTATGTATGTTGTCTATTTGTGCATAGCCAACATTCGGCCTTAAATCTTTTAAAATATTTCTTTATCTTTCTTCTTTCCTATAGAATGCCCAAGGCACAATTACCATCATCTTTTCCTTAGTTGTGGCATTTTTTGCTTGCCTTTTCATTGAGTATCCCTTTGCACAATTTTTCGATGCCTTACAGAGCAGGGGAGGCAAGTCAAAGGCTTCAGGTATTTTTGTGTAATTTTTGTTTTTTTTTTTTAAGAAATTAACAATAATTCCTAAATATTTTTCAGTTCCTAAACTCTCTAAGGAAGCCAAGGTTCAATAAATTCCTAAAATTAGTACTAAGTGTTATGTATTCATAAGATTTTAATTAATATAATAAATTATAGGTTTATAGCTTAAAACATGCTATTCTATTATTTCTCAGTCTGAATTTTTGTAAGGACTATAGAATCATAAAAGAAATCGGTTGGGGACATAGTCTAAAAAAAAAGGCTGTGTTATCATTTCCAGCAAGGAAATGGGTTTAATTTGGGTTTAAAATATTCTCCGTGTGACTGTTTAATGTTTTTTTTAACAATCACCTTTGGATTGGTCCAAATCTACTGGATTTTAAAGCCACCCTTTTGAAAATCCACAATGGTTTTGTCCTTTTTTGTTATTTTCCAGGAATAAACCTAAACTCGGATGGCTCCCAAATGACAAGACTGGCAGGATTTCGGCAAAATAAAAAGCTGCGTTTATTTGGTTTGTTTGTTTACAAATAGTGAGTTTAGTTGTCGTTGTTTATTCTCTGTAAGAATTTTAAAAATTTAACAAAAATTAAGTTTACAAAAAAAAAAAAATAAAAATATTTAATTTAAAAACAATAAAAATTAACACGACTTACTTATTTTTGGGTTCTAACAAAAAAGGGAATAAACAATGGCCATAAGGGCCTATTTATATAAAAAGTGACATTAAGCAAAACAACAAAAATAAACAAAATGAAGATGTTGGCTTAAATTTAGTTTCGTCTCCCTCTTCGCTTGGGATATTTCGGCCATTTATAACAGTGGTATTTCAAATTTGGCTACACTTTTTTAGCTTTGGTAATTGCAGGGTTACCATCTCCAACATCCCCACCCCCGTGAACTGACCCAGAGGGGGAGGCTTCACCAACTCCGTCTCCAGCCGCTTCCACGTCCAAAATGGCAAGTTTGGACACAGGTCTGTGGTATACACCGGCACTCGTTCTCACCTTGGCTGATCGTGCCACTCCGTCTTTGCCCCTGAATACTTCGATGACTCGTCCACGTCTCCATTGACTCCGAGCCATCTCTGGATCACAAACAAACACAAGGCAACCAACATCCAACGACCGAGAAGGAAGACACCATTTTGTTCTTCGAGTTAATTCTGGAAGATATTCCCGAAGCCACTGATGCCACATGCCATTCTTCAAATTTTGGGTGACACGCCACTGCTTCCTTAAACACATCAGTCTAGGCTCAAACGGTGCTGGAGTCTGGGTTGAATTGGTACATCCAAGCAGAAAGTGGTTTGGAGTCAATGGATCTGGGTCCTCTGGAGTAACTGGCAAATGTGTTAGTGGCCTGCTGTTGACCATATTCTCCGCTTCAATCAGGAACGCTTGTAGAGTCTCCAGTTTTGGGGCTTGCTCCTTTAGCATGATGTAAAGAGCCTTCTTAACAGATTGGACAAGACGCTCCCATACTCCGCCTTCGCTGGGATTCACTGGCGTATTGTAGACCCATTTTATTCCAAGAGCTGTCAGACCAGAAGAAACGGAATTAGTATCTAAAAAATTGGTTATACCTTGCAGCTCCTTTGCTATGCCAACGAAATTCGTCCCATTGTCGCTTCTTATCATCTCTGGGACGCCTCTTCGATTGATGAAGTTCCGAATACACATTAGGCAGGAATCACTCGACAGGTCTGTTGCAATTTCCAAGTGGACAGCGCGAACTGTAAGGCATGTAAACAGTGCCACCCACCTCTTTTCTCGTTGTCTCCGGATTGACACTGTTACAGGACCAAAATAGTCAAGTCCTGTGTAGGTAAAGGCTCTGACATAAGGTGTGACACGTTCCAAGGGTAACGGGGCCATTTGTGGTTGAATTGGTTTGGCCTTACGAATCTTGCAGACAAGACATCGGGACTGAACGCTTCTTAGAAGTTGACGAAGTGACGGAATCCAAAATCGCAGACGAATTTCGCTCATTGTAGTGGCAACATTTATGTGACAAAAACGAGAATGGTAAAATTCCACCAGCAAAAGTGTAAAACGATGACCTTTGTTTAGAATTATTGGTCGTCTGGTATCCAGGGACAAAAAAACAGCATTTTCTATTCTTCCAGATACCCGAAGCAAACCATCACTTCCAATTTGTGGATTTAAAGACTTTATAGAGCTGTTGGCAGACACTGATCCAGTTCTCTGTATGTCAAGAATTTCATCCCCATATACTTCTTGCTGTACGCAGCGACAGAGATACATTTCTGCCCGTGCTTCTTCTTCCACCGTCAAATCACCCGGCACCACTGATTTCCTCTTCATATTTTCAACGAATCGGAATGTCCACGCCATTGCCCGTTTCAGCCTACGATATTTTGAAAATCTATTAATATCTGGAATACAAAAACATACCTGGCAAGCCACCAAAACTTTGTATTTGTTTCTTAGCTCTGTTTTGCTGTGATCCACACATGTTCCAATTTGTTCCTCGTCCGGCCAATACTTCTCTTCTTTTCTCAGGAATTCTGGCCCATTTTTCCAACGTCCTTCTGGCTGGTACTTCTTGGGTCCTTTAGCACGGGTCCCTTCGTCAGCTGGGTTTTCCGCTCCTGGACACCACCGCCACTGCTCCATACGGCTGCTTTCCAGAATCTCCGACACTCTATTTGCCACATATTGTTTGTATGTACGGTGTTCTGAACGGATCCAACTTATCACTGTTGAGGAATCTGACCAAAAATAAATGTTATTAATATTCTTCAAATGATTTTCCAAAATTTTTTCCTTCATTCGCACTCCAATTACTGCTGCTTGCAACTCAAGCTTAGGTATAGTATGGTATCTTGTTGGGGCACAGCTCGTCTTGCCCATAACGAACACAACACTTACACCACAATTTGTTACTATACGCCAGTATGCCACAGCAGCCATTGCATCTTCACTGGCATCCACAAACACATGCAAATCTACTATACCATTAAAAAATCCATTACTGTAACACCTCGGAACTTTGAAATCCTTTAATTTAGGCAATTCCTCCAGCCAGGTCTTCCAGCGGCTATAAATCGCGGAAGGCAACTCCTCGTCCCACTTTATACCACTTTTCCACACATTTTGCATAATTATCTTCGACGTCACCATAAAATCACCAAGAAACCCGAATGGATCGAATACGGACATATTTAAAGACAACATTTCGCGTTTCGTTGGCACTTTTTGCAATTTCAATATCTTTTCATCCACTTTGTGTAATTTTAATTCAAAACAAAATACATCTGATTTTGGCAGCCAATGAATACCGAGTACCCGTTCCATTCCATCATCAAAAATGGAGTTGCCATCACTTTCATCAGAAATAGGGTTGCCAAACATACGTTGTAAAACAAGGGAATTAGACTTGATGTTGCGGAGATTAAATCCACCCTCTTTGTGAATTTTTATGACATCACGTACCACTTCAACTGCCTCACCTTCAGTCTGGAAACAGTCGACGTAATCGTCTACGTAATGACGATCGATGATTCCTTGTACTGCTCTTGGCGACTCATTTATAAACCTTCGGGCATTTAGGTTTTTTACATATTGGGCTATGGTGGGCGAACAAGTGGCTCCAAAAATCATCCGTTCCATTACATAAGTTTCTAAGGGTTGACTGGGATCCCCATTTCTCCATAGAAATCGCTGACTGTCCTGATCTTCTTTGGCGATTACAATTTGGTGGAACATCTCTTGTATATCTCCGCACACGGCTACAGGAAATTCCCTGAATTTAAAAAGAATAGAGATTAAAGAGTTATTTATGTCAGGTCCAGGTAATAAGGCTTTATTTAATGAAAATTGTTGAACTTCAGCAGCAGCATCGAAGACGATACGAATTCCATCTTTGTTGGGATTTTTAACGCCAAAATGTGGCAAATAAAACGTTCGGTCGCTCCTTCTTTCTCGTTCTGCTACTGAAAGTTTACGGCAATATCCTTTTTCCTCGTAGTCTCTTATCTTTTTGCAATATTGAGCTGCATATACACTGTCCTTTGCCATTTTTCGTTCCACACACTGCAATCGGTTGTACGACAAATTGTACGATTCTGGAATTGGAGAAAAATGTTCTTTCCACAAAAGCGGACACTGATATCGCCCATCGATTCTTTTCGTGTTTTCTCTCAATATTTTTAACGCTCGTTCATCATCTATGGACAGAATTGGTGTCACATTTACCTTGGTACCCAATGTCTCCACGTCGAAATATTGCCGCATCATGGTATGCATTTCCTTAAGCAAGTCACAATTTTCTTCCTCGAAACGTTTCCTAACGTGTAAAGCCCGCTTAAGATTGGAACTCTTCTCGCCTGGGATCGGTCCATAAATTACGGCACCTAATCTCGTTAGGGTAATGATTGGTCCAACATCGGTCATCATACGAGGAGCTTCCAAGGGAACTGTTAAAAATGAATGTTGCAAGCTTAATATTAGTTTAGGTTGAACATTCGAATAATCCCGGAATGGGATTTCGGCGATTTGGTCGATTTCACGGGATTTAATTAAATGAGCCAGCTGGCAACTCTGTATTGGCAATGACAGATTGGACGAAATGTAAACATTGGTTATCGGGTACTTGTTGTTGTACTCACCGACACCACTAATTGTCAAATTAATTTTTTCTGTTTTTTCGTTTATGTTTTGGTTATTAAGCCACTGAATTTTTAAAATCTCCGGTTTCCCGTGTACTCCGAGTTCGCGAGCAACGTCCTCGTCCAGCATGGACACATTGGCGCCGTCGTCAATGAACGCGTACGTCGTTATTTGTTTGTGTGTTCCGTATAGCGTCACGGGCAAAATCTGGAACAGTACGTTTTCGGTGTAGTGGGCGGCATGACAATTTCTTCGTTGTGTTTGAGACGGCGGTGCGTCGGGAAGAGATGGGGTGTTCGTTCGTGGCTCCAAATCGTGTGTGGGTAATGTTCGGTTCGGTTCCTGGGATGGCGTCGCGAGTGTTTTGTGCAACAATTGGTGGTGTGATTTTTGGCAATCATTTATGCCACAACGACGCTTATTGTGGCAATTTTTAAGTTGGTGGCCTCTCTTTAAGCAACAAAAACAAGTTTTAATTTGTTTAATTTTATTCCATCGGTCATCGATGGTCATTTTTAAAAAGTGTGGACAGATTTTTATATTGTTGCACTCTCCCTGACAAATTGGACAGCTCGAACTGACAGCGACATATGCGTATTTTTTTGTTGTGTTTGTGTGTGTCGGCGATTGGACGAGGTTGCTGAAATTGGCTGTGTGTCGTGGACCATATGTGCGAGACGGCGTAATATTCCCAACCAATCGCTGAAATCAACTATAGTGGCGGGGTGCTGGAGTTGCAGACATTTTTCGGCCCATTGCATTTGGCGGTTTATCGGCAGTTTGGACACTAGCTCACTCAGCAACGATGGATTGGATAGATGGTGTTCACCCTTGGCGTTTTTTAGGAAAGTGGCCATATTGGAGAGTTTGTTGGCAAAGTTGACAAGTGCATCCAAATTATCATCTGCCAGCGGTGGAATGGCTCGGACTTTTTCTACTTGGCTTCGGATAAGTTGCTCTGGTCGACCAAATGTTTCCTGCAGAATTTCCAAAATGGCGCTGACGTTGGCAGAACTCCCCAACATGGATTCCACTGTTTCCCTTGCTCGGCCCTTCAATGCGTCTCTCAAACGCATGATGTTATGGAGATTGGAGTAACCAAATTCGGTTGTGGTGCTCTCGTAGGCTTCGAAAAATGCCTGCCACTCCTCTGGAAGACCTGAAAAAATAGGCAAGGGATAAATTTTTTTATGTGCATTTCCGTTGGAGTTATTTGAAAGTGAATTTGGAAAAGACTCATCTGTGTTGATAGACAATGGCGGCAGTTGATGCACTTGAGTCTGCAACTGTTGACTTGTTGTTGGCGGTACTGTTTGTGGTGGCAAAACTACTGAATGTAATGGCAGATTCAATGGCGGCTGTGGCGGCAGACTCAATGGCGGCTGTGGTGGCAGATTCAATGGCGGCTGTGGTGGCAGATTCCTTTGTGGCTGTTGCGGCGTATTCAATGGCGGTTGTTGTGTCGTTTGATTTGAGAAAATTGGTGGTTGTGACGTCAGTGTAGGCAATGCTTGCTGCGACATTGTGTTTTGCAAAGAAGCAAACTGCTGTGACGTACTTAATAGTTGTGCTTGCATTTTTGCTTGTGCTGCTAAAAATTCGTCTTGCATTGCTTTCATCTGACGTTGCATCTGTTCCATTTCAAATTTCATAAGTTTTCTCATCTCGGCTAATTCATTTGCAGGATTTGGTGTTTTGGCTGGTGTATTTGAAGGCGGTTTTTGGAGCTGTAACTGAGAAGAAGAAGAAGAAGATTTAGAAGTATTGACGGGCGGTGTATTGACGGCTGCGGCTGCAGCTGGCATTTGTTGCTGTTTTTGGTGGCTGCTGGTAGGCGTATCTCCTGTTGGTGAGCGAACGACAGACATATCGTAAGTGTCAGGGTTATATCGGGCTGGCGGAATTCCTTGAGTGCTGCGTCCACTGGTTCTTCTGGTTAGATCTTGGTTTTGTGGCATAAAACCGGCAGAATTTCTTGAATACAGGTAAGAATTATTTTTTTTTTTGTGACTTAAAGTGGTGACAGCTGTTTTTAAAAAATGTCCGTCCGTTTTAATGAACAGCAACAATAAACACAAATTCAACAAGACAATTGACGACAGAAATTAAATTGACATAAAACAAATAAACAAAGAATAAAGAATAAAGAATAAAGTTGTCCTTTTTTGTTATTTTCCAGGAATAAACCTAAACTCGGATGGCTCCCAAATGACAAGACTGGCAGGATTTCGGCAAAATAAAAAGCTGCGTTTATTTGGTTTGTTTGTTTACAAATAGTGAGTTTAGTTGTCGTTGTTTATTCTCTGTAAGAATTTTAAAAATTTAACAAAAATTAAGTTTACAAAAAAAAAAAATAAAAATATTTAATTTAAAAACAATAAAAATTAACACGACTTACTTATTTTTGGGTTCTAACAAAAAAGGGAATAAACAATGGCCATAAGGGCCTATTTATATAAAAAGTGACATTAAGCAAAACAACAAAAATAAACAAAATGAAGATGTTGGCTTAAATTTAGTTTCGTCTCCCTCTTCGCTTGGGATATTTCGGCCATTTATAACAGTGGTATTTCAAATTTGGCTACACTTTTTTAGCTTTGGTAATTGCAGGGTTACCATCTCCAACAGGTTTCTGATGCTCTTTGGTTTGTAAAATATAATGAAAAATGTAAACGTCAAACAAATTTTTAAATGAAAAGTATTTTTATCAGCTAAAGTTGTTGCTGATCATAAAAGCCTCTGAAGGCAACGTATAATAGCATGTTTCCATTGGAAACCGAACAACGTTGTTCGCTCTCAGAATTAGGTACACGAATTAACCCGTTCATACGATACGATTCGTAATTCATGGTAAAATAATTCCTTTTTTAAAAATTTTGTTTGTTGATTTTAATGAGAATTTATACTAAAATACATTAAATTCTCACTAATATGAATAGAAGAAATGATTATTTTTCTCCCAAAGATTTATTATATCATTAATTTTATAATTTTCATTCACGTCTTCAACTTTTTGTGTAAATGTTGACATTTTGAACATATTTTTGTATTTTTCTATTTTTAAATTCTGCTGGAGAGACACTTGTCAAACATTTTTTTTGCCGATACAAACATTTTGAAAATATTGCCTCTTTTGTTTCCAGTTTTCTGTGGTAATTTCAACTCGTGGACAAAATGCGTACCTCGGATGAGAGAGAAAACAAAATTTACTTTCGTTTGAATGTACATACGCTATTCTACATTGTAGTTTTCATTCATAAATTTCAGTCTTCCCAAAATTTTTTAAAATTTCATTAAATTTTTCTATTTTCAATTTTTAAATGTCATAATTAATTTTTTCGATAAATGCTCTCATTTGTTAGGGATGGGACATATTTTTTCGTTGTTCTGAGAGTGATTTGATTTGAACAATGTACAAATATGAGTGTTCGCTCAGGAAATTTTGTGTGAAGAATTAAGTAGTTTTTTCATAGTTAAGGGTCAAACAACGAATGGAGAGCGAATCAAGTGCAGTGGAAACGCCACATAAGAAACTAGTAAAAAATCAACATACTTTACAAGTAGTTCTATAATCCTCCTGATGCACCTACCGATGTGTTTTTATAATAGTTCTGAAGTTCCTTTTCTTTATATCATTCCATTAACTTCAATCGTTCGTTAGCTGTTTTACCCTTTCTTTAAACTTTCAGTCATGGCCCAATTATAAGGTCTTCCTTCGAGCGAATTAATCTAAAAACAGCTGTTATGTTATCAGATGAAATTTCAAAATTCATGCTTGAGGAGAAAATAAAAATTTTCCCCTTGACAGAAGTATTTTGTGGCGAATATGTTTGTTGTCATTTTTTTGTATGGACCTTATACTTGGATCATGCTGACTAGTGTGCACCGTATATAAGGTTTTTGTTAACCATCCTATTTGCATTTCACATTGTGGCTAAGGAAAAAAGAAGAAGACGCAAAAATAATATTTTAGTCATTTTTATACCATGAACTAATTGTTTAAATAAAAGATTACTAATTGTTAATGATAGGGCTGGAAAAGATAAAATTGTTCCTCATATCCGCTCTTTTTTTTTTTTTTAATCACCAACATCTTTTAACAAAACGGCAATTGCTATCAACATCGCTCAGAAAATATCGAATGCATTTTCTGATTGCTGAAAAATCGATTAGTCGATAGTCGATTTATGTAGCCCTAAAGGAAATAAGAAAAAGACCAAATAACGAGACGAACAATCAACAATACGAACTACAAAAATTTATTATTATTTTTTTTACAATCTAAATCACATAATACGCGAGCAAATCCAATTGCCACTCGATTGGATCAACAAGATTTACGAGCAATATAATCAGAGCGATCATTGTAAAAAGTAGAGGACAAAAACAAAGAAAAACCACTGCGAGAAGAAGAAGAAGCAAAAATATTTCGTAAGTGAAGTGGATACGTAAAAATATTTTGTGATAGAAAATCGACGAAAAAAGAGACCCCGAAAAAGACAACGTTGACAGCGCCATAGAGACCCCCATTGTCGGTAGTCGTTGGATCTAGTGTGTGAGTTTTTCAAGATAAAGAGTGTGGCGATTGGTCAACGGCGGCACAGCAAACAAATATTAAAGTGAAACAATAAAGACCCCAGTGTCATCAGAGTACGTCAAAGTGGTACGTGATAAAATGCAAATGTAGAAAAAAGTTTCTCTGGTCTAGAGAACGGCTAACGATTCACGCAACCATTGGGCCAACCAGGCAAACAAAGGCCATTACAAGTGGCCAACATACAGGGCTCCAAAGAAAACATCTTGAGCAGCAAAGAATCTCATCTCATGCATTTTCTGTGGCAGCAACGATCCCGGCTGTGTTTTCGTTGTGTTTTGCGTGCGGATAATAGAAAACAAGATTTCATCTTTGGCCCCTACAAAAGGGGGCCAGATCCGGGAGAAATTCGTTAAGGATTCCAATTTGAGTAAATAATATGAATGGGTGCTGCTGATGTTTTCAGCCCCTTCATATAATAAGTTGCCACACTTTTTTGTTTTTATTAATTAAAAATTGATGCTCCCCCTCAACAGTGACCCAAACACAAACACACACAAAGAGAAAGAGAAACGTCAAAAAAGGGGGTCATTCATTCTGCGTCTTTCTAATTGGTGCTTACATACCGAACATACGGACACACACGTCCCAGTTCGGCTAGTGACCGCAAAAACAAAATAAATTTTGCAAAACATTCGCCTAAATTGCATTCATCCCATGTGTCAAATTTCCCCCACACCCAATCGGAAAAAGAGGTGAAAATAACAACAATAGCTATCAAAAGCTCATCGCAATTATACAACAAAGAAATAACTAAAAAAACAACAAAGTCCCCCAAAAACTGTTAACTAACAAAGAGTTGTGCCACCATCGTCAACTGCATTGATCCAAACATCGAGCCCTACGAGCAACGTGTTTCAATATCGGTTAAACAGCATTAATAAGTAACAACAATACAATTGTGTGGCATTTTATCAGTTATTCGGGACAGACAGAGAACCCACAACGACGTCACTTTCATTCTTAATTCACTACGGGCTGTTGTTGTGATTTGTGTTGCTAGTATTCTCCTGTTCTCGCTTCAACATCATCAGCATTGTCGTCGAATAATAATACAAACACCCCACCGCCGCCGCCCCAACCGACCGCGTGTTTTTTCTTTACATTGTTTTATTCATTTTCTCTCGATATTATTTTTTCTGTTACCTTGTATCGGTTCGTGCGCTGTCGCCGCTGAGTCGTGTGTTTTGTTGTGTGTGATCTTGCCAGTGAAAATTTTTTTCGTGAAACTAAAAAATCAACGATTTTTTTAGGTTTCCCTCGAAAAAAATTCTCCAAACAAAGATCCTGCCCACAACCGAACTGACCCTCGTCGTGCTGCTGCTATAACGCCGTTCCACCTTGAATGGAAGAGCTATGAACCTAGACCATCTGAAATTGACGCTGACGCAGATTGGTAATTTGGTCAAACATTTAAATAAGAAAAATTTTGCTGAAACAACTGAGAATCTAAATAAGGTAAGCAAGCGAGAACAAGCATGAATGTGTTTGATTCATCTGTTATATTAATATAAACAAAAACAATGCTTTAATGATATTTTACGTTTTAGAGTGGCTTCATACATACTTATTTGTTATTGAAAATCAAATGTCTGTAACTTAAGATCGGTGCGCGAGAAGAACTATTGGGAAAATGTGTTAGATTTATATGGTTTTAGGAGAAATCAATTTTGCAAGGTCCTGAATTCCAAAAAATCGTTAAATAGTTTTGTAACCAAAGTGACATCCCATATTTATACAAATTTTAACCAGGTTTTTCAAAGCATTTCTGGCACATCGGAGAGTTTTGGTGATCATATTTGTTTACTCTGCACCTCCATAGAGGAGGGCTACTGATGGTCACCAAGTTTTTCAATATATTAAAAACCGGTAAGACGGAAAGAATCACCGAGTCACAGAATCAAAATAGGTTCAACCGTTAAAATTTTATAGAGGAGGAGAATACCTACACAAGGTTTCATCGACAATATAAGTTATTCTCTATATGAAAACTATATAAAAATAAGTTCATATATGTAAGAGATGAGAATGCCTGCCTATATCTAAAGCAAATGAAAGGTATTTTATGTATTGAAGAAAGTCTTCTGGGCCTATAGGGAAAATTTAATTTATAGAAGATTTCGTAAAAGATTTAGAAAAATCGCAGAAAATCTATTTGTGTAGGTACTATAAAGGAAACCCATAGTTGCTGTAGCAGTGTTAACATGCTCCGGTTCTTGCCCAATGTCCAGGTTTAGGAAATCTGCTACCTTTATGGGCTGTAGGCGTTCCGCACATCTTCGTCAATTCGTGCCCAATACGAATTAGACGGCTGCACCATCCTGAACGTAGTTGGGCCAAAACTACCCTGGTTTGTCTAAGCAGACGACGTTCTTCAGCTGCAGTGGATGGGGGGGAACTCTGAGGATGGCATTCATACTGTAATTATTAACTACCTGCAGCAGTATGAATGCTATTCAGACCCGCTTGATAGGCTTCATGATCTAGGGGCTATCACTTATATCGCTATACCTCTCTCTCTAGATCGTGAAGGTCCTTCCTGACACGTCTGGGTGGGGGGAGTTCTATCCACCATATGGTGGTTAGGATGACTGCCACGATATCACCCAAGCAGGTACTGGAACAAAAGCATATGATTATGCTGACGTAAGAGAAGAACCTTTGTCTCCTCATGTAAATGGTCCACAAGGAACCCATAGCAGATCTCTTTGACAGCATTTCAAATATTTTGAACATTTTTGTTTTGGGACGATTTTAATGAATGTGACGAAAAACACCATTCCAAATATGATTTTCAAAATTTTTATGCAATTAAAAAACTCATTTGGGTGTGTGTTTTTTAACATTCATATCTTCATAGAGAAATAGGCCATTTAAAAATGGTTCATATTAATAGAAGACCTATATTAGCAAATACGATCGAATGTTGTCCTACTTTTGTATGGAGGTAAAAACGCAGGGGGATTTCGGTTTCTTCTTTCCTTCACAGCTTTATTTTGCATCAACCAAACAAATAAAACTTTACGACTGTCCAAGGGACCTGAATATTTTATGCCGACACATCGGCTTTTTTAACGAGTCACAAATTATTCAAGCGTTATTAATAATTGAAATATTAGAGCAACTCAAATCGCTGTCGTATTTTACAGACGTATTAAAAGACTAGATATTTTCAGTTTTGTACATATATAGGTCATATGAGTACCGTGATCTATTTTTCACACGATATACCTTAAATAATAATAAAAATATGAATTTGGCTTATTCTCTCCAAAATTGACACAAAATACCCACCCAACAACTTCCATTACAGAGTCTGGTAACTACGTTTATTGAACACATACCACCAGATACCTGCTTAGTCACTATGCTAACTAAACACAGCTTGAAAACCCAAAAACGATCACCATGGCCAATACGAGACAATTTGTTCAAGTTATAATTAATCTAATTGTAGTGTAAAATTATTTAGTTGCTATAATTTGTTTACCTGGACATATCCCAAGTGAAACTTCATACGTATATTTTGCAACTCTGTATTCAACAAATTTCCATGCACGTGCATGCCAGATTATAATTTGTTCCCCAAACAAAAAGATATTGGGGGATTCTAAAATCTCCAGTAGACAATTTGTAATACTCTTCACCCACTTCATGGTAGAATCATGGCTCAATGAGAAATGTTACTCAACTTCAAGGAAACTAGGAAAATGTAACAACAACAACAACATTTTGCATTTGGTTGCCCGTTATGCGTGAAAAATATGCAATTTTGCTGTCTCAAAACTTGACTATTCTGACTATCCGTCTACTCGAATTTTATTTATCACGCAATTTATATTATCAATTTTGTTGCATGTGTATTGACCAACATTATACAACAGTTTGATGACGTATAAAAGCGCATTTCCCACTGAGGAATAATGCTTAGTATGGCGTTGTGGTCTGCCATAATTCATGAACTGGTAGTTTGGTAAAATAGCATATGTTTTTAGGTTGACTTAATTCCATTTTGAACCAAAATTTAAACTTGGGTGGTCCTTTGTTCTTTTTTTTTTCGAAATAGCCACCAGATTACTTATGTCGAAAAATTCCAACTTTAAAGTCGTGAAATATACTGGTAAATAATTGAAAAATTATTGAACAAGTTTAATCCTTAAACTCTGTTTTCATCAAATTATAAAAAAAAATAAATCTATCTTGATTTCAGAGTTCCTTGTTTCTTCTTCATTTTTTCCTTCGCCTGCATTCTTGTAATTTAAGTATATAAAATTACAAATATTTCCTATATAAACATTATTTATTTCACATTTATTTGCTAAAAGTATTAATTTTACTTTATCATATTTCCAAATGGCTATCAATTTTCCCTATCAATCTACTCCAAAATATACAATCTGGCAACGCTATGTTTTTACTACTTCTAAGTGATGTTTTAAAATGTAGATGTACCATTGTTTTAACAAAAATGTTAACGAAATATTTGTTTATTTAACAATTAACAAAATTTTTAAAAACTGTCCTTGGATGTAAATACAGAAATAGGTGTCAAATGGAACAAAAACATATCACCAAATAAATATGTACTTATATTCTTCAAATTCCCCTTTCACAACATTTTGCTACTAAAATTTTGCAACTCTGTTTTAACCAATCACTTTTGCCGACGCTCTGTAGAAAATTTTCTCTGCTGGTTTGTCGTCGTCGTCGTTTGTGGAAAAAATTGCCAAAGAATTTCAAAACGATTTTAATCTGATAAAAACCTCAGTGATTTTGTGAATAATATCATCAAAATATCCAACAATGTAAGCACTTTGCCGTGCTATCAAAATAACCCAGTGAAAAAATAAAATTTCTCTAGAAAATTGTGTAAAACAAAATTGAATCTGTACATTAATTCTTGCTAGGGCGAATGAAAAAAAAATCATCGCATACGCTTTCGAAGTTTGTGTGTGTGCTGTGCCCCCCTTGTCTAAAAATTTAAAGTGTATATTTTTCCAAACAAATTTTGCAAAGTAATAAAAAGAAACGATAACTAAAAGAAAGCAGACATCGGAAAAGTCATTGAACGTCTCTGGTGCCGTTTAAGAAAAGAGAAACACCCAATTTTTAAGGGCAAATTGTAGTTAATTTAAATATCGTCGTGTTCCATTAATTGGTGCTCCCAAAAGGTATTTTGCTGTTTTTTTTTTAATTCCAAATTTTCTTTGTGTGGTTTGGTTTTTTTTCGTCGTTTGTGCCTTTTTTCGCATATGATTAAATGTGATTAAATCGCCAGTAACTGTGACTATGGCTGTCTCTTTTTTCATATGTCTCCATTCGTTTTGTTTGTGTGTATTCGTGTAGGTTTCGTCTTCTTCTTCGGTTTGTAATATTTCCGTTTCATCTGTGAACTGGAAGTTTCATTCATTGTTGTTTGTGTATTGGATGTGGGGGGGGGGAGAGAGAGAAAAGTTTCTCTTTTGAGAGTTGCCATACTGTATGTGATGAAATAAACAAAACGTATAATTAATGGGGAATCAATAATAATAATTGTGTGCAATTACTCCTTAATATATTAATTTAATCCTTTTGAATTAACTAATAAAATACTGTTATTTTAGAGATATAAAAGTACGTATTTATTGTTTTCAAATTTTGTGAATATTTTCAATTAATTAGAGAGTTAAAGTTGGCGCGGAAATTTCTTTTCTGATTCGAGGTCAAAAATTGTTTGATGATAACACCAATTTTATTTTGCAAAGGATAAATCCATTCAGTATCAAGTATTTCTGTTGTACGTTTTGTTTTTGTGACATATTTTCTATAAATCCTAAAGAATTGAATTGAATAGTTGTTAACTTAAGCTCATGGAATTCGTGATAGATAATAGTTGACTTGTGCAATTCAAAAAACAATCATAATTATTATTAATTACCTGCATAAAACACTACATTGTTCACCTACTTACTTACTTGCTCTCATTATATTTTAGATATAACGCCGTAAATCTAACAACACGACCATTCCCTTTATGGTATTGATAAATATCAAACCACACAAATTTCAACCTACTACGATTATTGTTATGAAAAAAAAACTTTTTCTTTTCTTTGTTTATAGAAAGAAAAGAAATGTGTTAATTGTTTTTGTTTTTATTATCAAATGTATTTGTCTTTCATAATCTTTTCAATTTGTTATTTTTTTTCTTTCCAGTTAATTGAGGAATTTGGCTTAGAAGCGGATCGTCATTGTCTGCGTTGTCTATTTGCGAGCATCAGTTTTAATGACCCAGCATTAACGTCAACCAACTCACCATCAACGTCATCATTATCGAACGTTCAACAACAACAGCTTTTACTAGCGAAACTTTTACAAATCCAATTGGAACTACAGCTGAACAAGGCAGCGCATATATCGAATATTTGCTTTGCCATTGATAATTGTTGGATCCAGCAAAAGGTTTGTTTTTAAGAGTACAACAATCAAAGTTCAAAATTTTCATATTTGTATTTCTTTTCTACTCTTTTTCAGAGTCTTAACAAATCCACATTTCCTGCACATTTTATAAGTCAACTTGTTCGAATAACTGGCATAAATAAATTGTGTGAATGTGTTGTTAGTCTATCGCTGACCCACTCATCACATTCAGATTTGCGGATTTGTGCTCGTGACCAACTGCGAAAAGCCTTGCCTGAACTTATCGAATCGTATTTGGGAAAGAACCAACAATCGGCTGCTGTTATAAGTAGTTTGCATGACGCGTCCTTGGACCTAATACAACTTTTGCTGACCTGCTTGGATGTATATGTGGCCGATAAAAATTTGCGTCAACAATTCTTACAGAAACTAAGGGAGGAATTTCCCCGAGAACGTGTACCACTCATTCTAGCTCCATATTTGTATGTCGCTCCCACATCCTCTTTTGATTTGGAAACATCAAGCGGTGATGAATTGGTAGTGTCATCATCACGAACGAATCCAACAATCGACCACACCAATGGATCCGTATCGGAAGTACCCATAGAAGAGATCTATGATAATTTGTGCGAAAACATATTTTCCCAACACGCCTACAATAATATTATGGACACATCTTGGATTAATTTAATCCTTGAAATCGGTTATGAGTTCACTTCAAGTGTTGAAGAATGTAAAAATCATCTACGCAGTGGTGGGTCAACGGCCAATAATGCCGCTGCTGGTGCTGGAACGGGGGCTGCTGGTAATGCCAGCAATAATGCCTCCGGCGGTGGAGCATCAGGCCAACCGCGGGATTTGCAGCCTCAAGATGTGGCCAAAATCATAGGTCTTATGTGCCGTCGTCACACCTCTTTGCTGGATTGCAATGTAAATTTACCAACGGCAGCCAATTTTTGGCCTCAGCAGCCGGGTGCCCAAAACAATCCCCAACAACAACAGCAGAATGCCAGCAATAACAACAATGACAACTCAACCGGTAACACGGATAAAAGCAATAATGGCAACGACAAAAAGGATAAACCTACGGTTGGCAGTAACTCGGCTGGAGGTACAGGCAGCACGGACACAACACAGGCCTGGAAACCAGATGTATTTGTGCAGGCCCTCAAAGAAGTAGTACCTCAATTGAATTGGAAGGAAGTCGGCCTGGAACTTGATCATCCCGAATTCATAATAAAAGATCGCATTGGTCTTGATCTGCTGTTGACCATATTCCGTTTGGCCACACAGTCAAATCTATTTCCCCATCCAGATTGCATTTATCGTCATTGGCAAAATGTCGAAGGACAGTTTTCTCTCATTGCTGTGATGCTAAAGAATCCCGATCTCTTTTCGTTTGCCGATCATATATACACACCCGCTCCCGTTGAGATGTTGAAGACACCTCCCGATAATGACAACAAGGAAGTGTGTGCATGGAAATCTCTGCATTTGGTTGAAGTGTTGTTGTACATAGCTGAACATGGTTTATATGCTCAAGTTCATGAATTATTGAAATTTCCAGCCCAACATTGTCCAGATGTATTATTCCTTTCATTGCTGCACATAAATCCTCCCCTCACAGCCCTGCGGCAGGAACTATTCAATCAACTAATCCCTACATTTTTGGCCAATCATCCAAATTCTGGTGTGATTTTGGCCAGTGCATGGAATTCTAATAATTTTGGCATGACGCTACGTCCACTCATTATGCATGCCATGTCGGAGTGGTATTTGCGCGGCACAGAATACGATCAAGTGAAATTGTCAAGGATTTTAGACGTGGCCCAGGATCTGAAGGCTTTGTCGACACTGCTGAATGCCCGCTCCTTTTTGTTTGTCATCGATTTGGCATGTTTGGCTTCTCGCCGTGAATATTTGAAACTGGAGAAATGGTTAAGTGATAAGATTCGTGAGCATGGTGAGCCCTTCATACAAGCTATGCTGAAATGCTTGCAAAGACGTTGTCCTCAAATAACAAATGCAAAGATTCCTGATGACCAATTACCTCCCAAACAAGCCCAACTGCCACCCGAGACTGTGAACACCATGCTGTCTTGCCTGCAGGCCTGTATTGGCAATGTACCCCACGAAATAGCTGAGCTGATAATGCAAATGTCTGCAAACTGTTCCATTATGGCCAACAAGGCTCGAGCTGCTGCAGCAGCGGCTGTGCAGCAAGGTCCCTTGGTACCCAATCAGAGTGCACTACGTGGGCACCGGGGTTTGGATATGGGTGCCGCCGGTGTAGGTGGAGTTGGCGGAGTTCCCGGCGGTGTTCCACCACCTTTTTCTGCCAATTTAAATGCTCAACAAATGTTTGGACCCACAATGGATACTCTGTCGAATCTGACTACAAATATAGCTGGCCTAAATTTAGGTGGTCCCAATGGAGCCTTCAACTTTGGCAATGTTCTGAACAATTTAGTTTCAACACCAGCATCACCATCTCGCCTTATGAATCCAGCCGCTGCCAGTCCATATCCAATGAATCCCATGCAAATGCCTGCACCACCACCCACTGTCGGTGGAATTGGCAGAATGCCACCAGCAGCGCCACAGCCCACTCCAACACCGCCAAATCCTAACAATGCTATAATGCCAGATTTCCAAGGACCTGTTTCCAAGGAAATCGAAGATGAAGCCAACTCATATTTCCAGCGTATTTACAACCATCCACCGCATCCCACACTATCCATAGATGAAGTACTCGATATCCTACAGCGTTTCAAGGAATCCAATAATCGGCGGGAACAAGAAGTCTACCAATGTATGCTGCGCAATCTCTTTGAAGAGTATCGTTTCTTTGACCACTACCCAGAAAAGGAATTGCAAATAACTGCCCAGTTATTTGGTGGAATAATTGAACGTAATTTGGTTCCCACTTTTGTGGCATTGGGTTTGGCTTTGCGTTGTGTACTAGACGCTCTGCGGAAACGCGAAGGTTCAAAGCTATACTACTTTGGTATAACGGCATTAGATCGCTTTAAGACCCGACTACATACCTACAACAAATATTGTGAATATATACGTTCGATTCCACACTTTAAAGACTTCCCTCCACATTTGATACAATATGTGGAGTATGGATATTTGGGTCAGGAGCCTCCAGCTAAGCCCATGTTGATGGGAGCTGGAGCAGCTGGTCAACAACCTCCAGATTCAATTTATCGTAGTAACTCAGTAACAGGTAAGCAATCTCCGCTTTTGCTCGTTATTCTTTTATATAATCATTCATTTTCGCTCTTGCAGGGAACATTGTTACCACACCCACTCAACAGAAACCAATGGTTGTGGCACATACGGCCCGCATGAAATCCATTGCCACTGCCACAAATATCGATACTCTGTTGGTGGCCAATCAGGAGGAAAAGATCACAGTACCGCCCGAGGCCATTCAAGATAAGACTGCCTTCATTTTCAATAATCTAAGTCAGCTAAATATTCCGCAGAAGGTTGAGGAGATCAAAGATATAATGACCAAGGAATACTGGCCCTGGATGTCGCAATATTTGGTGCTCAAGAGAGCTTCCATGGAATTTAATTTCCACACACTTTACTTTAATTTCCTGGAGGCATTGATGAATCCGGAGATCAATAAATACGTGACCAAAGAAACTATACGAAACATCAAGGTCTTGCTACGCTCTGACAAAGGTGTGGTCAATTTTTCTGACCGCAGTCTGCTTAAAAATCTTGGTCACTGGTTGGGTATGATGACTCTGGCACGTAACAGACCCATTTTACAAATTGACTTGGACTTAAAGTCACTCCTTGCCGAAGCCTATCACAAGGGCCAACAAGAGTTACTGTACGTTGTGCCGTTTGTGGCCAAAATCTTAGAATCTTCTGCAAAGTCGAAGGTCTTCAAATCGCCCAATCCTTGGACTATGGCAATTATGAATGTTTTGGGTGAATTGCATCAGGAACCTGACTTGAAGTTAAATTTGAAATTCGAAATAGAAGTGTTGTGTAAAAGTCTCAACATTGACTTGAATAAACTCAAGCCAGTCATATATTTGAAAGACCCAGCCCGCTATGCCATGATTGAGAGTCAAATGGCCCAGCCAAAGCCAAAAGCCATAGAGGCAGGTCCCTCTCAGCAACAACAACAGCAGCAGCAACAGCAGCCACCACAGCCGCAGCAACCAACCCCCACTCCACCTCACCAACATCCCATGATGTCAGAGGCCGATGCTCAAGCTATGATGATGGCCAATTCAGGTGGACCCGGAGGAGTGGTTCCAGGTGGCAGCATACCATCGCCCAGCATTCCTCAAGATCAAGTCGGTTCCATGATGATGCCCGCCCCAGAGCCACGTTTCTCCTACGTAGACATCAATGTAACTAACTTCCAGTTGATTGCCCAGCATGTGGTTCTATCACCAAACGTTGCTTTTATTCATGTCAACCCCACCGTCAAGCACATGGTTTTAAATGCCATTGAGAGAACCATTACCGAATGGCTACAACCGGTTGTTGATCGTTGTGTGCGCATTGCCGCCTCCACCACAGAGCAAATTGTGCGCAAAGATTTTGCTCTCGATCCCGAAGAGCATCGTATGCGCACTGCTGCCCATCAAATGGTACGTAATTTAGCCGCTGGCATGGCTATGATTACCTGCAAGGATCAGATAACGCAAACCCTCAACAATAACCTGCGTAAAGCCTTTATGTCCGCGTTGCAAGGACCACCTTCATTCCAAGAAATCGAAGGAGCCTCCATACAGCTAACCAATGACAATGTTGAATTGGCATGTGCTTTCATACAGAAGACAGCTGCAGAAAAGGCAACCCCAGAGGTTGACAGGCGTTTGGCTGCTGACTTTGAGACCCGTAAAATGGCCCGAGAGGAGAATAGCCGTTACTTTGATGCACAAACGTTGGCTTACCAGTCGGAACGTTTACCCGAACAGGTTCGCTTGAAAGTGGGCGGAGTGCCACCAAATCAATTTGCCGTGTATGCCGAGTTTGCTCGTAACATCCCAGGATTCCAGATAATGAGCGATCGTGATATAGCATTATTCCTACCCAAACCACAGGAAATGCCTCCCACCTTCCCAACCGATGAAATGGGACTCATGTACGCCGAGCTGGCCAGCAAAATGGAGGCATTCCTCAACAGCTGTGTAAGCAACAACAATCTGCAACTACAAGCTGGTAAAATGCATGCCCTACTCAATGCCCTGATGGTCACCAGGCGCATACGGGACAACGATTCAGCCCTCAATCTGTTGACACGTTGCGTCGAGGGCTTCGTTGAAGGTCTGATCAACATACCCGAACATGTGGAGCAAATGAAACTCTACCGCGACATACACTTGCGCATTCTGACTCTGCTGCAAAATACTTTTGGAGCCCCAGCAACCGAACGCGCCATTACCAAGTGTATCTTTGATATACGTGAAGAGGCCCGCTACAATGTGGAGGCCATCAAATTGTTAATCACCTCACATTTTATAAATGTGCCACAATTCGATATGCTGCTGCGCGAGTCGATGGATAACGGCAACAACTTTTTAGCTGTCACCTTTGCTATTACGCTCATGGAACGTTTACTCACCGATGAACGTTCCACGTCGATTATTGCCGAAACCGAGTTATTGGTTACCATCGAAATGTTGAGCCGCTTGACGCAACATCGTCACCGCTACCCCGAGGCCCTGTCACATATGATCGATATGCTCTTTGGCAGCAGCAACACCATGGATGCAGGAACATTTGGTGCTGTAACAGACCGTTACTTGGCCGGAGCAACACAATACATACACTCGGGAATGCAACATGTAAGGGTAAGTCAAATGGATGGGATTTTTATTGCAAGTGCCACATGAAATAAACTATTTTCTTCATTTCTGTTTGTAGTCAAATGATTGTGATGATCCTCCCGGTCTGCAGGAGAAAACAGAATTCCTACTCAAAGATTGGGTATCCATCTATTCACAATCGCACAATCTGTCGCGTGAAACCAAGAACTTTGGCTCATTTGTACAGAAAATGAATATGTATGGCATTCTGAAGACAGATGACCTGATTACACGATTCTTCCGCCAGGCAACCCAGTTCTGTATGGATTTGGTGTATCGCATTCTCAACGATCCAACCCATACTCCCGTGCAGGCAAAAACCAAAATTTTCCATTGGATAGATGCTTTTGTGCATTTGATTGCTTTGCTGGTGCGTCACTCGGGCGAGACGGGCAATCACACCACAAAAATTAACTTGCTTAACAAAGTGTTGGGCATTGTCTTGGGCATTCTGTTGCAAGATCAAGAAGTCCATTGCAGTTCATTCCAACAGCTGGGATATCATCGCTTCTTTGTTATGCTGTTCCTTGAGCTGAGCTCACCCGATGCTGTTTTGGAATCTCTTATGCACAGTATTGTTACAGCCTTTTCGCATACGTATCATCTCCTAAATCCTGCATTGGCTCCGGGATTCTGTTATGCCTGGTTGGAGTTGATCTCACATCGTATCTTCATCGGACGTATCCTGGCCCAAATACCCCAGCAAAAGGGTTGGCCACTCTATGCCCAGTTACTCTTGGACCTGTTCAAGTATCTGGCACCATTCCTGCGGAATGCCGAGCTAGCGAAGCCAGTACAGTTGCTGTATAAAGGAACGCTGCGGGTTCTGCTTGTCTTGTTGCACGATTTCCCCGAATTTTTGTGTGACTATCATTTTGGCTTCTGTGATGCCATACCACCCAATTGTATACAAATGCGTAATATCATATTGGCAGCTTTCCCACGTAATATGCGTCTACCGGATCCATTTACACCCAATTTAAAGGTTGACATGTTGGCTGAGACTGCAACAGCTCCAAAGATCTGTTCCAATTATGTTATGAACATTCAACCGGCCAATTTCAAAAAGGACTTGGATTCATATTTGAAGGCCCGGGCACCGGTAACATTCCTATCGGAATTACGTAGTCATTTGCAGATATCAAATGAACCTGGCTCACGTTATAATATACCGCTTATGAATGCCCTGGTCTTGTACGTGGGTACCCAAGCCATTGCCCACATTAGGTAAGTAGTGAATAAATACATAATCTAATACCAAGGAGTCATTATTATCTATTTTTTATAGGAATAAAAACCTAATACCCAATACATCGAATGTTGCACATAGTGCTCATATGGATATCTTCCAAAATCTTGCTGTTGATTTGGATACAGAAGGCCGATATCTGTTCTTAAATGCTATTGCCAATCAGTTGCGTTATCCCAACAGTCATACGCATTACTTTAGCTGTGCCGTGTTGCATCTATTCGCCGAAGCGAATTCCGAAGCTATACAGGAGCAAATTACTCGAGTGCTGTTGGAGCGTGTTATCGTTAGTCGTCCACATCCATGGGGTCTATTGATAACATTCATCGAATTGATTAAGAATCCCATTTATAAATTCTGGGAACACGATTTTGTACATTGTGCTCCAGAAATATCCAAGTAAGTGTTTTTTTATTTTGCATCAAATTTGTGAAAGCTAATAGGATGTGTACAAAAAAGGTACACGATAGGGATTCGAGTCACTCCAAAATTGGGCACATTGTAGTATGGTTTCCATATTTTGTGTGGCATGATCAAGAGGCTCTAAGCAGTATAAACAGACATTATGACACGTTAAAACTGGCCATGTAACTACAGAATTGAATAATGAATTCGTTATAAATCAGATAATGGCTTCGGCCTTCTTTGTTTAGTTATACCCTTAGCCATATGGCTAGAGAGGCTATATATCATTTGATACGGCCAAAATGTGCTTAATCGAAATTTCGGTTTTGGGCCGTTTCATGGCATTTGGAGTCGATCTAGCGATGTCCGTCTGTCTGTCTGTCTAGTGCGCACGAAAACTCTCGAAGGGATTATCCAATTTGACCGAAACTTGGTACATCGTTGTATTATTGTCAAGCTTAGATCGAGTTTGGAGATGGGCAATATCGGTCCACTCCTTCTGGTACCTCCCCCACAAAATGTCAACATTTTCAAAGAAAATAATTTACTGCTCAAAAAGATAAAGGATAATCCGATTTAGCTCCAACTTTGCAAATCCTTATATTTGCATCAGTGATAGGTCAGGTGCGAAAATGGACAATATCGGTGAACTCTATCAAATACCTCCCCCTTAAAGTGTCAAAATTTTGAATAATAATAACTCCGATTGTCTTCAAATTACACACATCACAATATTTCTATTCATCCAAGGTCTGGTGTGAAGATGGTATATATCGGTGCACTCCTTCTGGGACCTCCTCCACAAAGGGTCAACATTTTTAATATTCATGAATCTCATAAAACACGATGTTAACATTTGATTCCATTCAGACTTGGCACATTTCAATATATCCATCAATACAAGATCTGTTATAAAGATGGTAGAGATCAGACTATTCCTTCCGGTACCTCCCCCACAAAGGGTCAACATTTTGAATAACCAAAACCATCAAAAAATCCGAAATAAGCTTTCGGTTTTCTTCAAATATCGCAAATCCCATTATTTCTACTAACCCAAGGTCTGATGTGAAGATATATCGATGAAGATATATCGATACCGATATATCCCGGTCCACTCCTTCTGGTATATATTTATGAAGCTCATAAAACACGAAATTTACATCCAATTCCATTCAGACTTGACAAACCTCAATATTTCTATCAACACAGGATCTGTTATAAAAATGGTAGAGATCGGACCATTCCTTCTGGCACGTCCTTCACATAAGGTTCAAGATTTTGAAAAAAAAAAAACGCTCAAAGAAAGCGAAATAAGCTTCCAACTCTCTTCAAATTTCACACATACAAACATTTTTGCTAGCACACGATCCCTTTTCGGGGACCTCACCCACAAAGGGTCACCATTTTCAATACTAGTATCTGTCATAACTTGAGAAAAAAAGAGCGATTTTTCTAAAAATTATCACACATCTCATATAAAGTGAAAGAGGTACTCGTGGTACAATGATATCAAGGTAGGGCTATGATACCATATGATTTCAATTTTTTTATTTTCTTGGCTTAATATGTCATCTTTATTTGTTTATGTATGTGTTTTCTTTTCAATAACAAAAAAATTGTTCAGAAAACATTCAAATTCTGATGTTTTCAAAATGTTTATTTCATCGTATGCATCGACAAAATCTAGAGTTTTTGTAGCGAAATAATCCTTTAGATATATATAGAACCTGGTTTTTAAAAGAAGTGTTGACCTTTCATTCAGTTTTCGCGGTTTTCAATTATTTATTCAAAATAAATGCAACAAGTTGTTTGATTTTGTTATCGTTTTGATACTATTTCTGACATTACAAGCCAAACAGGTAGACCTCTATACTTGCAGTTTTTTCAAAGTTGACCTACCTTCTCTTCATTGTACCATGGAAGTACTCAATAATAGCCCAAACCTGGCACGTCACAATATTTATTTCATATTTATTTGGGTCCGATACGAAATATGTAAAATATCTGAATTTTTGTAAGAGCTAACTAACATATTTCGTTATTTCTTTTCTTTTTTCAGACTTTTTGAATCAGTTGCACGTTCATGCATGGTTAAATCCAATCATCCCCAACAAATGAACAACATGGTGGATGGTGAGATACAAGAGATCAATTAAATTTTAATTTTTAATTTGAAAACTCCCCGAAATTTACAACCTCCCCCCTTTCTCAAGAAAAAAAAAAAACAAAAACAAACACGATTTCAAATTTAAAATGAATTCTCTTTCTCTTTGTCTGTCCTGGATAGAACAAACAGAATGGCATATAGAACGATAACTAACCACAAGAACCATAAGAACGCCGCTCTATCAACAGAACGCCGTCAACAACCACAAATGCAACTACAATACTAACAAGAAGAAAAAGAACAGCAACGCCAGCAATAAAAGCAACAAGTTCAACAACACACCGTGATGATAATGATAATGCGCTAATGATGAAGATGATAATAAAGGAATAAAGTAAATGTTTCTTTTTTTAAGCTAAAGATAAAACAAACGATATTTGCATATAAAAACCTATATATAAATATAAATAATTGATTTACGAATTAAGAATTTTTGCAACCGCATCCTTCTACCCTTCTCTTCTCTTCTTTTTCTGATTTCGTTTTATTTTTATGTGTTTTTATTTCTTCCTTTACCCTCCATTATTTTAGTTCATTAATATTATAATTATTATTATTAATTAATATACTTATAAAAAACAAAAGAAAATCTTAAAAAATGAAAAAAAAAATCAAAAAAAAAACAAAAATTTTTTATTATTAATATTAATTTTCTGTAAGTAGCTTAATATATAATTTGTTTGTGTGAAAAGAAACGAAAAGCAAAACAACATTTAAATTAATTAAACAAAAGAGGAAAAAAAAACAAACTAAACATTTGATGTATTATATATAACAAGGAATATAAAAAAAAACAACCACAACAACAATAAAACAAAAACTTTAATATTAATCAAAAAATAATATCATTTTTGAACAATGAAAACAAAAAAAAAAAAAAAAACAACTACCCAATAAATTTGTAAAGAAACCTGCTTTATTGGATATTCGAAAATAATCATCAAATAACTTCTTACACAAAATAACAAAAATAATAACAAAACAACAATTGAATATATTTTAATAATGTAGAAAGTTGAGAAACCCTGAAATAAAAATCGTGTAAATATTTACATAAAAATCTCTCTTTGTCTATAAAACACCAACAATACAAGTTAAAACAAGAAGAAGGGAAAGCAGAGTAAAAAAAAAACAACTGGAACAAGAAAAGGGGAAGAAGAGAAACACCAAAAATGAAGAATGAAAATTATATAAGTTGCCCCTCTTTTTAAATTGAACTATCATGACAAATCAATGTCCTGCGTAACCCAATAATTTTAAACCAAAACTATGTCACTAGATGTAGATGATTTTTTTTTTTTGATTTTTACTCGTTTAAAAGTATGTCCATGGAAATTTTATTGAATCTGGAATGTCAAAAATGAAATGGAATTTTTTTTATTCTGTTTTTGTAAAGTTTTGCAAATTTTCAAAAAAAAAAATGTTTTCAGGAAAATAGTTTTTTTTTGCTTTCTCTCTTCCCACCTAACCTCTTCAAAGGAAGAAGTTGTGGCAAAAACCCCAACTCAAATGTTCCCTTCTTTTTGCAACTCTCTAAAACAAATAATTCAAATCAACAAATAGATCTAAAAATATTTAACAAACAAATCTATATTTACTATAAAAAATACATTGAAAAAGAATGAAAAAAAAAAAAAACAAACAAGTAACGAAACAAAACAAAAAAACAAAACACATTTAATTATAAGTCCCATCAATATACATAGAGAACGAAAAAAAAAAAAACAAAAGAATAAATCATATGTATAAATAATTGCAGAAAATAAGTGGCTATTTTATTGTTGCATTCAAAGGAGTCTTTTTTTAGAACTATTTTCACGTTCGATAATTGTAGTGGGTTAAAACAAATTGTAAGGCAATTAAGAATTTATTTTCAAGGACTATCAGAATATGAAACGGTTTTTAGGAATATTTTTTAGGTACTATACAGGGTGAGATGAAAAAACTGCAAACTGCTGTTATTTCCAAACCACTCGTCCGCGAGCTGTTAGATTTATTCCAGTGATAGCTCATTGTATTGTTTTCAAGTCTCCAAAAGCATTTTGGTGAGAATTTTCCAGAAAAAAAGTTATTCGTAATGGAATTCAAGCGTGATAGTGTGATTTCTTTATATTTGGCTGGTAAACCACAAGTGGCTATCGTTAGAGCACTCCAGCATTTAAATGTGAATAAATCTTTTGTGTCTCGTACCATCGCTTGTTACGTAGCGTAGCCCGACGTCAAGTAAGTGGACGGAAGAAAACTGCAACATCAGCAGAAATGGTTCGAAACGTAAAGAAGCGACTTGATCGAAACCCGTGTCAAAGTGGCCGAAAAATGGCTCGTGAGCTCAACATATCGCAATATTTCATTCGGCAAATATTAATAAAATTTGCCATTGAAATTCCAAAAAGTGCAAGAACTTACACCGCAACAGAAAGAAAATAGACTCAAAAGAGCTAAAGAGTTGTTTCGCTTGGCCGAAAGTGGTGAACCCAATTTGCCCGAATTTGGTTTTCTCCGATGAGAAAGCATTCGATGCCCACCAGTTTGTAAACAAACAAAATGATTCTGTTTACTTGCCAAAGAGGTCAGCTGAAAATGTGCACCTCTGGTTGGCCACCAGAATTCAAGCCACAAGTCGGCTATCGTGATGGTGTGGCCGCCATAACAGCCAATGGTCGCTCTCCGTTCGTATTAATCGACCGTGGCATTAGAATAAATGACGAATATTATCGCGAAAATATTCTGGAGGGTGTATTAAAGCCTTGGGGACGCAAACATTTTGGCCGCAGACCTTGCATATTCCAACAGGACTCAGCATGCGCCACCCAAGAATGGGGTTACAGAACGAGGTTTCTCGCTTCATTTCCAGCGCACAATGACCACCAAAATCGCCGAATACCAATCCGTTGAACTATTGTGTCTGGAGTATTTTGGAAAGCAAGGTTGGCACTAAAAAATACCAAAGTGCCGATCAACTCAAGCAGGCAATTCGCCGGGAATGGGTCAAAATACCGCAGAGCAACATTCGGTTAGCGTTGTGACGGTTTCATTGGCCTTTTGAAATCTAAACTAATTCTGAAATTTTATGCTATTTCCGATATTTCTGCTTTCATTCAAGAAAAATTAAAAAAAAATGTAAAAGTTATGGCGTTCGACTTTTCATTTCCAGCGCACAATGGCCACCAAAATCTCCGGATACCAATCCGTTGGACTATTGTGTCTCGAGTATTTTGGAAAGCAAAATACCGCAGAGCAAAGTGTCGATCACCTCGAGCAAGCGCTTCGCCGGGAATGGGCCAAAATACCGCAGAGCAACATTCGGGTAGCGTTATGATGGTTTCATTGGCCTTTTGAAATCTAAACTAATTCTGAAATTTTATGCCATTTCCGATATTTTTGCTTTCATTCAAGAAAAATTAAAAAAAATGTAAAAATTATGGCGTTCGACTTTGTTGCATTTTTTATCTAACCCTGTATTTATGATCAGCATGAAATTCTGTGTCGATGCAGCGATGTCTGTACGTCTGTGAAAATAACTTTAGCTTTCGAACGAAATGAAGTAGGTTGATAAAATTAGATGTGTGTTTGTTCTGCAGGACTTTTGGTATTGAAAACGGGCTATAAATGTCTACGCTTTGTATGGCCCCATATAACAGTACCTCCCTATATTCGGTATTTTGATGATTTTAATTACATTATTGGCCGGATTTTTTTTTTCAAATTTCGTATTTACACTTCACAATAGATACTGTATGTAGCTTGTGACAGAAAATTGTGTAGGTCCACGTCTTCGTATAGCCCCCATATAAGGGTACCTCCCGATATTTGGTATTTTGATGATTTTAGCGACATTATTCACCGGAATTGTTTCAAATTTGGTATTTAAAGTTCGAAATGGGTACTAGAGTCTGTGACAGAAAATTTACTATGCCACGTCCACGTCTTCGTATGGCGACCTTATAACAGTACCTCCCGATATTCGGCATTTTGATGATTTTAGCGACAATATTCACCGGAATTGTTTCAAATTTGGTGTTTGAAGTTCGTAAGGGATATTGCAGCCTATGGCAGAAAATGTTCTGCGCAGGTCCACATATTCATATAGCCCCCATATAACAGTACTACCCTATATTCGGTATTTTGATGATTTTAACCATATTATCCACCGGAATTGTTTCAAATTTGGCATTTGGGTACTAGAAAATTCACTATGCCACGTTCACGTCTTCGTATAGGTCTCATATATCAGTACCTCCCTATATTCGGTATTTTGACCAATTTAGGTACAATACCCACCGAAATTGTTGGAGATGTCGTATTTGAAGTTCGTAATGGTTCGTAATGACTGTGACAGAAAATTGTCTATGCAAGTCCAGGTCTTCGTATAGCTCCGATATAACGGTATTTGATGATTTTAGCTACATTATTCACCGTTTATTTTAAGTTTCGAATTTGAATATGGTAATGCCTATGTAGGTCCACGTCGTATAGACCCCAATTTAACGGCTATATTCGGTAATTTTAAGATTTTAATAGAGAATTTTTAACGGATTTTATTTTCTGAACATTTCCAAATTCGTTCAAATGGTTGAGGGCATTCAAAGTTCGGTCCGACCGAAATTACTGCTTTTTATATAGTTTTTTTTTTTTGAAAATGGTAGCATTTTTTTCTTATAATTCCAGATTTATAATCACCATTTTTTAATTGCTAGGTTTTTTAACTCTTTTTTTTTCAAATATTCAACAATTTTCTTTATTCATGCCATAATTCAAATTCATGCAAAAGTGTTCTTAATAATTTTTTCGTATTAATTTCAAAACATATTTTCTATAATAAATAATTTTTACAATTTAATCCTACAATTATGTAACAAACTTCAATATTTTTTCACATTTCCCAATTCAATTTTGAATGTGAAATATTTACATGGTTTTGTGTGTCTGTATGCCTATTTCTCTAACAGTGCTTTCAGGTGGACTCTGCGATGATGATCTCTTAAATTTTGGGGCCTTTTGAAAACTTTATTACAAATAAGACATCTGAAATGGAGATGTAAAGGAGATGAAAAGAATATTAAAATATTTCTGGAACTCAATTCTCTAATGGGCTAGTGGCCTTGAAATTCTTTTTGATGAAAAATCATGGTAGACCCATTGAATACTTACTGAATTCGTCTTGGAAGCTTTCGCAATGATGTCCTCTTGTGAATATTTCTTAAAGGGAGTTTTGCAAAAAAACAAAAAAAATTAAATCATTCTTGACCGACCGTTCTTTAATAAATTTAATACTAACATCTCATGCTTGTTGCGATTCGAAGTATCGGCAAAAATTCGATTACACATCCGACAAGGATATGGCCGTTCGCCAGTGTGAGAATTTTCATGATTTTGAAGCTGCTGTACTTGACTGAATGTCTTACCACAGATTCTATAAAAAACGCAACAAACACAACAACAACGTTTTTTTTTCTTTTGCTTTCAAATATTCCAACAAAACACTTCATTGAGTACCAACTTGCAAAGGTGCGGCCTTCGATGGACATATTTGTGATGCCTCAACAGATCGGCACTGGAATAGACATTATGACAAACATTACAAGGGAAATGACCAGACTTTTGCGTTTTCTTTTCTTTCAATTCCAACCTTGCATGTCTTGCTTTCGTTTTGTTCCTCAGTGGATCCTTGGCATTTCTGTAGGACATTATGATACGTTTCTTGAGCGGCCGGGTGGAGTAATGGCCATCTTTGACATTATTCGAAACGTAATCATCTTCTTTCAGGGAATTTGATGAACTTTTTGTGGAATTGGGCAATTTAGGTGCATTAATGGTGTCGGCGGATAATGATGAGGCTGTGTCCAGACTCTCAATGGAATCTCGATGGTAGCCATTTTTCATTTCGAATCTTTCAATGACTTGCTGGTGGTAGGCATCCAAAGAGAGTGGCTGGAGAATTAAAAAAAAAACTATTAAAAATTGTTCCTCTCCTCCATAAAGTCTTCTCACCGTATCCATTTCATGATCTGTTAGAAATTCCTGTTCATGCTTCGTATTTGGTTGTACCACCTGTGTTATCTGTCTATGGGCCCGTTGACACTCCAAACGAAATGCATAGGCCTTAAATAGCCTATCCAGGCAAACATCACAAATTTTGTCCGGTAGATTGTCCCGCCTTCGTACCTTTTTGGGACGAGAACGTAGTTTGATTATTTGACTTTTAAGTTTCTTCAAACTTACCGGTATGCCACCACAATCCCTTAGAATGTTCCAAATGGGCTTTTCCAACACCTCGGAGAACAGATCCAGCATTCCATGTTTCTGCTGCATGCAGACACGACATATGAGCCATAATCTTTGCAGAAACATGGTTTGAATTGTGGGAGAATTTCTCAACCAGGTGGTGCTGAAATTCCGAATAACGGGAATAGCAAAGCAAAGTGTGAACATGGAAGAGGAATTCATGACCAAAACAAAATCAATGTAAATGTCAGGGAAAATACATAAAAAAAATGTCAGTGTAAGTCTTGAATCAGTGTCGTGGAACGAGGAGGGAGGCGGTCAAAAGGTTGAAGAACCTAAATGATGTCTCGAATTTATTGAATACGAATCTTTCAGGTTAACGTTTGAACTGAAAAAATAACCAACGAGAAAGATCTTCCATAATGAGGAAACTTTTGCCGATCTTCCGTAGAGGGAATACCTGCCGCAATTTTTCTGCACAGATAAGTCTTTCATATGCATGTCTTTTTATACAAAAATACCTTCTACAGGTCTTCTATATCCAGGAGATCAGCAGAAATGGTTCGAAAAGTAAAGAAGCGACCGAAAAATGGCTCGTGAGTGGTCGAAAAATGGCCCGTGAGCTGAACATATCGCAATAGGATAAGCTTCATCGGCAAATGTTGAAAAATAAGCTCGGGGAGCCGAAAGTGGTGAACTGCTTAATTTGGTCAGCTGAAAATGGAAGCCTTCGGTTAACCACCAGAACTCAAGCCTCAAGCCGGCCATGGTGATGGTGTGGGCCGATGGTCGCTCTCCGCTCGTAATAATCGACCGTGGCATCAGAATAATTGCCGAATATTATCGCGATAATATTCTGGAGGGTGTATTAAGGCCTTGAGAACGCAAACATTTCGGCCGCAGACCTTGGACATTCCAACGGGACTCAAAATCTCCGGATACCAATTCGTTGGACTTTTGTGTCTGCAATATTTTGGAAAGCAAGGTTGCACTAAAAAATACTAAAGTGTTCATCACTTCAAGCAAGCGCTTCGCCGGGAATGGGCCAAAATACCGGTTTCATTGGCCGTTTGAATGCCATAATTCGTATCAAAGATGACCAATTCGAATCAAATCTAAACTTATTTTAAAATTTGATGCTATTTCCGACATATTTTGCTTTCATTCAATAACATTAAAAAAAAAAATTTAAAATTATGGCGTTTGACTTTGTTGCCGTTTTTTTATCTCAAAATCCGAAATAGGCCTCCGATTCTTTTCAAACTTTACACATTCCAAAATTTCCAGAAGCACAAGATTTGTTGTGAAGCTGAGATATATCGGTTCACTCCTTCTGGTATCTTGTCCACAAAGGGGTCAACATTTTGAGTAACAAAACCGCTCATAAAATACGAAATAAGTATCCGATTCTCTTCAAACTTTACACAGTCTAATGACTCTGCCTACACGAGACCTGGTGTGAAAATAAGATATATAAGCCCACACCTTCTGGTAACTCCCTCACAAAGGGGTCAACATTTTGAATAACCCGAACGCCCATAAAATGCGAATTAACCATCCGATTTCTTTTCGGTATGAGAGCTATATGGAAACGTGGACCAGTACAGCCAATTATATGCCAAAAAATAAGTTCTTCGAAAATGCAGTTAATATCGGCAAAATACCGAATATCGGGAGCTACCATTATACGGGGAATATACGAAAATGTTGACCTGAATAGGTAATTTCATGGTACTATGAAATAAAATTAACCTCATTTCAAATAAGCATTCCAAGTCCAACATTTTCTGTAATTTACCTTGTCAAATTTCAATGCATAAAAAACAGTTCCCATCTCTGATTTTGTGTGTATACAATGTATGCAGAAATTCAGAATATCGGGAGGTACAGTTATATGAGGGCTATTCGTGGACCTGCGAAGATAATTTAATTTTAAGAGACACTAAATACCAACTATAAAAAATCGGTTAAACAATGTCGGTAAAATTTTAGAATATTTGAAAGTACCATTATAATTGTGTTATACGAAAATGAGGACCTGTATAGGAAATTTTCTGTGACAGAAATGCAATTACCAATTTTGAAATTATTGCAGTGAATAGTGTGACTAAAATCATCACAATAACGAATTCCAGAAATTACAGTTATTTGGGGACCATGCGAAGACGTATATATATGTATAGATAATTTTTTGTAATAGGAAGAGGTGCCCATTATGAACTTGAGATAACAAAATTGAAACCATTTCCGTGAAAATGTGAAACAATTATGAAAATACGGAATATCAGGAGGTACAAATATATGGGGACTATACTAAAAAATATAGACCTACATTGACAGTTTTAAGCAGGGATATTTCCGAAACATTGAAAACACAACTTTTTTACGCGAAAAAACCTTATCTTATACAAAAACCCCATTTTCAATACCAAAAATGCTACGGACCTAAAATACAGGTAAATTTTATTAATCTACTTCTTGTTCGGAAACTACAGAGATTTCCACTGATGGACGGACAAGCCAAAATCGACTTGCTAATCCCGAATGCAGATCTCTGAAAAACTCGCTCACTCAAAGAGTGAAACTCACTCGAATTGGAGAGGGAGCACTCCTGAAAGCGGAAAAAATCGAGCAAACTCATTTTTTCAAATCGCTCGAATAGGAGTGATCATGTTTTCCTCGATTTCGAATTGGATTAGTTCAAAATTGAACAGATTCTACTTTTGCTGAGCACTTTTTTAGTTATTGTCATATCGTTGTTGGATTTCTATACATGTGTATATTCCCTTCATACTATTCGACATGATCGAAACATTTATTCATACCCCGTCTATCTGCGACCCAGTTTAAAGTTCACTAGAGCATTACAGTACTTAATGGTTTCCATTATAGTTTTTTTTCAACTATTATTCACAAGTAATATTAACAAGCTGTAAATGGATGTACACACACATCCACATCCATACTCAATCATATACGTGCTCACTCAACTATTGACGAGTACAAAAAAATATGCACTTATTTGGGTACATACTTTGTAGCATGGGCGTAGGGGAGGAACCTTTCATGATCCTATGATGATGGTCAGGAAAGAAGTCAGCTCCTGAACTCAGCATAGCGTTTTAAAAATGAAAGACAACACAAGTTAAGAAGTATCAGTCGGTATTGCCGACAGATGCATACCCTCAGCCAATGTTCGAGTATTTAAATATATTTTGACTTCTGCCATAATTATTCAAATTGTTGACCCTCTATGCTTTAAGTTCCAAAGAAATAGGGCAATGTTGTCCATTTCGTATCGGACCTAAATAAATATGATATAAATATTGTGACGTGTCAGGTTTGGACTATATTCGTTACTTTCTTCACTATACATGAGATATGTGATAATTTTTAGAAAATGTTAAAATGTGCGTAAGGTACTTGATATAGTCGACCGAAGTATTCCATTTTGATACTTCATCTAATACAGAAAAAAATATTGGTATGGGCAAAATTACAAGAAAATCGAACATTTATATCCAATTTTTGCGAAATCATGAATTTATCTCAGGTTCCTGGTTGAGATAAATATTTAGATATAGCAAGTTGTAAAGAATCGCTGACTTGTTTCGCAAGATAAAAGTATTGAAAATTGTCACCCTTTGTGGCTGAGGTACCAGAAGAGGTTCGCAGTTTTATATCATCTTCACAACAGATCTTGTGTTGGCAAAAATGTTTGTGTGTGTGAAATTTGAAGAGAGTCGAATGCTTATTTCTCTTTCTTTGAGAGTTGATAGGGTCCAACCTATGTGGGTGAGGTACCAGAAGAAATGGTTCGATCTCTACCATCCTTATAATAGATTTTGTGTTAATGGGAATATTAAGATGTATCAAGATTGAATAGAATCGGATATTAGTTTCGCGTTATATAATCTTCATGGTTATTGACAATTTGACCCTTTGTATGGGAAGTACCAGAGGGAGTGGACTAGTGGATTTTCACAGCAGATCTTTTGTTGGTATAAATAATTGGTATGTGTGAAATATGAAGAGAACAGGATGCTTATTTCGGATTTTATGATCGTTTTGGTTATTCAAAACGTTGACCCTTTGTGGGGGAGGTATCAGAAGGAATGGCCCGATCTCTATCATCTTCATAACAGATCTTGTGTAGATGAAAATATTGAGATGTACCAAGCCTAAATGGAATCGGATGTTAATTTCGCGTTTTATGAGCTTCATGGATATTCAAAATGTTTACCCTTTGTGGGGGAGGTACTAGAAGGAGTGGACCGATATATTCCGTTTTCACACCAGACCATGGGTAAAAGAAAATATTGTAATGTGTGTAATTTGAAGAAAATTCAGACACGTACATCCCAATTTATAAGAGTTATAATTATTCAAAAATTATGACCCTTTGCGGGGGAGGGACCAGAAGGAGCGGATCGATATTATCTATTTACGCGCCTGACCTAGCACTGAGGCAAATATTAGGATTTCCAAAGTTTGAGCCAAATCGGATTATCTTTCCAATTTGTAAAGTAAATTATTTTCTTTGAAACTTTTGTGTGGGAGGTACCAGAAGAAGTTGACCAATATTGCCCATCTCCGAACACGATCTAAGTTTGAGAATAGTATTACGATGTACCAAGTTTGGATCAATTCGGATACTTTCTTCGAGAGTTATCGTGTGCACCAGCCAGCCAGACGGACGCACAGCGCTAGATAGTCTCCAAATGTCCTGAAATAGATTTGGTCCAAAGTGACCTGGGGTCTAAAACGGTTTTTTCGATAAGGCACGTTCTGACCGTATCAATGATATATATATATATATATATATATATATATATATATATATATATATATATATATATATATATATATATATATATATATATATATATATATATATATATATATATATATATATATATATATATATATATATATATATATATATATATATATATATATATATATATATATATATATATATAATCAAACATAACTATCTTTGACTCCTTTGTGATTGGGCGCCATCTGAGAATGTTTTTATTTTTCTGGCGGTTTTACATTTCCAATATTCTCTGTTATATTTTTAGTATACATTTTTCGGAGAGAGAGATCGGTGAGCATTTTCTAGTAGTAGACCATGCTGATATTAAAAAATTCACAAATAGATTCCTTGGAAGTTCTTGTAAGACCTCACCCCTGTGCGGATCTTTATTTGTACTACAAAGCCTATTGTACCGAAAAACAATTGTGACTTCCCTCGTAACATTTGCCGCTTGCAACCCCTTTAGCACGCCTTTACATTTGTGCTATATGTTTGAAGCCGAACCAACAAATGGAACAAAATAATGCTCAACAAAGTAAAACAGCGAACAAGTGATTTAGGTCAAATGTTTAACACATAAATATCCCAACATACCAAAAATACAATACAGCTTGAGAATAATATTATGAAAATAGTTTATCGTAAGAATTCCTCAACAATGCTAGAGAAAAACTTTTTTGCACAAACTTTTCTCAAATCTGTCCTTTGTTGACAAATTTGTTTTGATTTTTTTTTTTTTTTTGTGAAAATTGTCGACAAAAAAAAAATATTTTCTTTGGTTAAAATCAAAATCACGCGAATTTAAAACCCATTTCTGGACGAAACTCTAAGGTAATGATGAATAATAAATCTGGGAATCTGTAGTGTATATTATTTCAATCTCATTTCAGAATAGAGGCGTCAAAAAGTTGCAAGAATTCAAGAGAAGTGAAGAATTAGTGGAGGAGATGCGGAAGCTCAAATAAGGGGAAAGAAATGCAGCTGGGATGGCGATCAATGAATGAAATGTGTAAAATAATTAAAAAATAAATATTTTATACCATTGAAAAAATAAGCTTGATATAATATTACTTTCGTAAGCTTATTCTGCAATTACAAGAATAAGCTTATGAATAAGGGTTCCCTTTCGATTATTCTATAATTGTTAAACAAGCATTTCTCAATACATTCTCAAGATTTTCTCAAGCTTAAGGCTTATTTTTGAAAGCTTATTAAAATATTATTCTCAAGTCAATTTGGTATGTTGGGATGTAGGTATTACACATACATACATATATGAGTATATATATGTTTTTTTATTGTAAAACACATACTCCCATGCCATCAAGGATACCAGCATGCAGATGTTTATGTATTTCTTGCATTTTATCAACATACATGGTAAACAGTTTTGCATAATCGCCAAGGAGGGAATTATTTCATAATTACATGTGTGTGTGTGTAAATTTCTGCAACAACAGGGGTTCTATAGAAGATGTAATGAATATTTCGAAATATGTTTCTGTGGAAATATATCGCAGTGTTTCCTCATCAAGATACTATTTAATTTAAATTTTTACTGGTTAGCTGAAATTTTGGCACAAATTTTATGATGTGGTAGTAAATTCGAACTCTCTCAATTTTACCAAAAAATTTTTAAAAATATTTTTGATAATTATTTTCATTTATAAATAGGAGTTTGTATATTTTAAAATTCGATACTTATAATTCTTTCTTCATTTAAACAATATAGGTACTTTTACCCACGTTGGATGAAAAAACTGCAACCAATTTCAGACTGTTGTCATTTCTAAGCCACTCGTCCGACAGCTGTTAAAATTATTCCAGTGACAGCTCATTATATTGTTTTCAAGCGTACAAAAGCATTTTGGTGGGAATTTTCCAGAAAAAAAGTTATTCGTGATGCAATTCAAGCGTGATAGTGTGATTTCTTTATATTTGGAGGGAAAATCACAAGTGGCTATCGTTAGAGCACTCCAGCATTTAAATGTGAATAAATCTTTTGTGTCTCGTAGCGTAGCCCGACGTCAAGGAAGTGGACGGAAGAAAACATCAACATCAGCAGAAATTGTTCAAAAATTAAAGAAGCATTCGGCAAATATTGAAAAATGAGCTCGGGATAAAGCCATTGAAGTTCGAAAAAGTGCAAGAACATACACCGCAACAGAAAGAAAATAGACTCAAAAGAGTTAGAGAGTTGCTTCGCCTGGCCGAAAGTGGTGAACTGCGGAATTTGGTTTTCTCCGATGAGAAAACATTCGTTGTCCAGCAGTTTGTAAAGAAGCAAAATTATAGTGTTTTCTTGCCATGAGGTCAGCTGAAAATGTGCACCCTCGGTTGGCCACCAGAACTCAAGCGCCGGCCATGGTGATGGTGTGGGCCGCCATAACAGCTGATGGTCGCTCTCCGCTTGTATTAATCGACCGTGGCATCAGAATAAATGTCGAATATTATGGCGAAAATATTCTGGAGGGTGCAAACAAACATTTTGGCCGCAGACCTTAGACATTCCAACAGGACTCAGCACCATCGCACTCAGCATGCACCACCCAAGTATAGTTACAAAATGAGATTACTCGTTTCATTTCCAGCGCACAATGGCCACCAAAATCTCCGGATACCAATCCGTTGTACTATTGGGTCTGGCGTATTTTGGAAAGCAAGGTTGGCACTGAAAAATACCAAAGTGGCGATCACCTCAAGCAAACGCTTCGCCGGGAATGGGCCAAAATATCGTAGAGCAGCATTCGGGCAGCGAGTGACGGTTTTATTGGCCGTTTGAAGGCCATAATTCATGCCAAAACTGAGCAATTCAAACAAATCTAAACTTTTTCTAAAATTTGATGCTATTTTCCGATATTTTTTTGCTTTCATTCAATAAAATTAAAAAAAAAAAATGTAAAAATTATGGCGTTTGACTTTGTTGCAGTTTTTTTATGTCACCCTGTATACCTCAGTGTCTCCTCATCAAAATACTATTTAATTTAACCTTTAACTGGTGAGGTGAAATTTTGGGATGTATTTTATGACGTGGTGGTAAATTTTAAAAATAATTGATTTTTATATATTTTTTAAATATTCTTTGATTATTATTTTTTATAAATATAAGCTAGTATATTTTAAATTTCAATAATTTAAAAAAAAATATTTTTTTCATTAAAACAAAACAGTTAATTTTATTCTTCGTAACAGAAGAGAGTATTTCAATAAAATGTGAAGAGAGGATACATTTTAACTGGTGAGGTGATATTTTGGGATGTATTTTATGACGTGGTGGTAAATTTTAAAAATAATTATTAAATAAATTTTATTAATAATTATTTTAATATATTTTTTTAAATATTCTTTGATTTTTATTTTTTTTTATAAATATCACCTATTATATTTTAAATTTCAATAATTAAAAAAAATATATTTTTTTTCATTTGAACAAAACAATTAATTTTATTCGCCGCAAAAGAAGAGAGTATTTCAACAAAATGTGAAGAGAGGGTAAATTTTGGCACCACCTCTTTAATTAACCACCTCTTTAATTAAAGTTTAATTAAAGTTAAGTCTAGGTGTGTGCACATAAAGTTATTTAAAATTTTATTAATTATTTTTTTTTTTAATTTATTTAATAATACTATTAACGGAAATTATTTCATGTTTGTGCTTTGCCAACTTTTCAATTCACCGAAGCGAATGGACCAATATTGGCAGCCTTTGCCATCATGGCGGGAATATTGGTCTGCTCATAGTTACCGCTGAAATAGTGGGCATATGGACCTGAGGCAAAGACACCGACATCATCGCCACCATGAGTCTCGGAATCCAAGGGAACTGTGGCCAAGTATTCATATTTGGCATTGGCTGTATCCTTTTCGGTGATCGGTTTGCGGCCGCCATCGCCATAGGTGGAATAGAAACCAGGACCATTGGCATAGGACAAAATGGTGTATGGCAAATTATCATCGGCCAAATCAGCAGCCAGGCCGGTAATGTCTTGGTCACGGTACTGAAAAAAAATTAAAAAAATAATTAAATTTAAAACAAAAATAGATTTTTAATGGTCTGTTCCAGAATTGCAAGAATACAAAAGTCTTTACTACGATAACCGATTTTCCCCTCATGATATCGAAGAAAATCGACAAAAAATGCAGGCAATGGAACAGAGCATAAAAGTGTTGCCTACTTACCGGATAACCATTAATGGTCATGGTGTGCGAGTGATCCGATGTAACCACAATCAGGGTGTCCTCTTCCGAAAACATTTCTCTGGCAATACCCACAGCCTTGGCCATTTCTTCGGTATCTTCGAGGGATTTACGTGCCCGGGTATCGTGATGGGCCATATCAATGCGAGCACCCTCCACAAACAAAAAGAAACCATTATCGTTCTTTTTCAAAACCTTCAGGGCTGCCTCGGTCATTTCACTCAGCGAGGGGTTGGCCAATTTTAGGCGACTACGTTCCAAATCGCCATGATAGGGACAGTGCGATGAACTGAAGAGACCCAATAGATATTCCGTCTTTTCCAAATCCACCAAGCTGAGACCTTTGCGTGACCAAACATACGAAGCATTGGCATTCAAGCGTTTCTTGTCCTCCAGCCATTGTTTGATTAGATTGCGTCCATCAAGACGTTGACCGGCAAAGCCTTCTTCATCGTTAACGGTTTCATTGATGAAGTTACGGCGACCACCACCCATGATAACCTTGAATTTGCTGCCCACATCCCATTCCACCAATTGGCGGGCAATGTCGGTATTATCAACGGAACTGCAGCCGGAACTCTCAATTTCGGCATCATTTTCCCAACCTCTCTGGGCAATGTGGGCATACAGACCGGCGGGAGAGGCATGAGTTACACGTGAGGTGGTCACAAAACCGGTATCCTTGCCAGCATCCTGAGCCCATTTGGCAATGCTGTCCACCCAATGGGCGGGATTTTGTCCGGCCAAGCAATCGTAACGTGGCACATTGGCATTAACGCCAATGGTACCGTAGTTGCCCTTGACACCACCCAAATAGGCGGTGGCAGTGCAAGCCGAATCGGCTACCTGACGATCGACACAATAGGTCTTGGACAAACCAAAATAGGGGAATGTCTCAAAGTACACCTGTTCCCTACTGTCACCCATAAAATTGCGCGTTGCCGTAACCGTGTGCACCGACATACCATCACCCAGGAACATGATAATGTTCTTGGCCTTATTCGTGTTGAGCGTTTCATGTTGAGCCAATTTTTGAGCCAAAATATTTTGAGCCTTAGTTACCCAGTATTCGGTTTGACGTTCCTCTTCGTGTTTCACACCATGGCGGACAGCTGAACGGGATCTGGCGTGGTCTGAAAGAAATTCCACATAAATTGTTTTGAAATGTTATCTCTGATTTTTTTTTGAAGAATATTTATTATTCCTGCCTTATTTTTGATAATGGCCAAGCCATGGCCATCGATTATGTGACGAAGGTTAGTAAAGATTAAAATCCGTTAAGTTTATCGTAAAATTAATCTGTTCAAATATAAATCAAACATGGTGATATGAGTTTGATGTTAAATATGCCAGGAGGAAATTGAAAGGGGCAAGTTTTCTGGGAAATAACCAATGGGGTATAAATTCTCAGGGGAAAGTTTGCACTGAAGAGGTTCTAGGACGATAAAGACGATGTAAGCTCTTTTATTAAAAAAGAAGGGTGCTATACATATAACAGCTCTGAGGCCTTGGGTATACATAGAAAAACTCTGAGGTCAACTAGATGAAGATGTCCAAAGCTGTTTCTATGGAAAAAATAACTACGATGTCTTCTATAGAAAAAAAATCTGAGATCTTTGCAAAGATAGCTCGGAGATCGTATAGGTACAAAATATTTATAGGAAGAAGAGTTATAAGGTCTTCAATATATATTTCGAAGATCTTCAGAAATTCCATATATATAGATGATTTCCTAAAGCTTATAAATAGATAGAAGCACTCTGACAACCTTTAGATACATATAATAGTTCCGAAGGTCTTCTATCTGAATATAAAAGCTCTAACGCCTTCTACATGAGTGGAAAAGCTCGGATAGTTTCAATATAGATAAAAGACCCTTACAGATTTTTATTTAGATAAAACAGACTTTATGTCTTCTATACATTTTACACAGGAAAGCTCTGCGGCTGTCCATCCATATAACATGCTTTGAGGTTCTCGATATTTTGAAGAAAGCTTTGTCGAAGATATCCAAGGTACATATAATTAAAAAACTCCGAGGTTTTTTATATAACTATAATATTCCGTGGTCTTCTGAATATATAGGAAATTTCCCATTTTTTTTTTTAATTTGGATGGGAGAGCACCTATTTATTTTTCTAGAGGAAAATATCCTCCAAATGCCTTCCATAAGTATAAGACTCTTCAAACTTGTTCTAGATAGAAAATATCGGAGATCTGCATATTTAAAAGTGGTCTAAAGTCTTTAATTTGTGAAGAAGAATTTTAAAGTCTTCCATAAACATCCGACACGCCTTTTATATAAATTGAAAAGCTCTGAGTCTTCGTAACTTATATAAAAGCGTTGAGGATTTTTTAAACATAGAAGAGTCTTAAGGTATACTTATACACATATAATCCACATATATAGATCTGCGAGACCTCTTTCCCGAGGAATAAGACCTCCTAATGTCCCTCTACTAATATAAGATTCTTCAACTACTTTATATATACATGGAAAAGCTTGGAGATTATCTAGTTAGATTAGAGAGCTCTAACGTTCTCTAAATGAAGATATAGGTAGAAAGCTTTGGGGTCTTCAGAAAAGCTTTAAGGTTTCCTATATCTATATAAAACAGCCTTAAAATCTGCTATATCGATATAAAAGCTCTAGCGCCTTCTCCACTTATATGAAGAGTTTTAAAGTACACCTTCTATATAGTACGAAAGGATTGGAGGTCTTCCAACTAGATGTAAATGTTTTAATCTAGATTTAAAAGCTTTAACTTTTATGTAAAAGCTTTAACTTTAAAGTCTAAATAGAAGACAAAAGAGCTTTAAGATTCCCTATATGTAGATAAAACATCATTCATGTCTTCCGTGTGGATTGAAAAGCTCTGATGTCTTCTATACACATAAGAAAGATCTGAAGTTATGCACAATACTAAAAGGGTTACGATCTGTTATAGTTGAGAAAACTTCGAGAGGTTTTTCATCTAAAAAGAATGAAATGTTCAGAGGATTCTGAACATATAGAAGAATATCGAGGTCCTCTAAGCAGATAGAAGAGCATTCTGGTTTTCCGTCCTGCATGTGTTCCATACAGATAAAAAATTGCTGGATTCTTCCAAGCACATATAAAAGCCCTGAGGTCTTTGTATACAATAATGATGGAAGAGCTTAGTGGGCTTTTATATTGATGAAAAAAGCTCCGATATTTTTCGTATAGTCGGAAAATGTTCCGCGGTGTTCGAAATGGAAAAGCCCTTTTTCTTCTAAATTACAAAAATATATATATAGAAAAATATATATATAGAATACCTAAAATTGGGCTTTTATATAGATAAGAGAGCTCAGAGGTCAGAAGACTTTCGTGGAATTTTTCCCAACTTTCAAAGGAGTGTCATAGCTCAAATATCTTTCAAAGATCTTGTAAAGGCAGACGTCTTTCCATCGGTCTTCTACAAATAGAAGAGCCTCCTATTGTTTTCTGCAGATGTAAGCTCTTCTACACAAATGTCTATAGAGAACCTTCATAAATCTTCTAAAGGCTAAATACCTTCATAGGTCTTCTATATGTGGAAGACTTTCCAGCAAATCTTTCGAAGGCCTTGTATTCATAGGAGACCTTCCAGAAGATCTTTATATGTTTAAACTTCTTACACATATAAAGGATCTCAGGAGGAGAAAAATGGCTATGAAGGACCTCGAAAGACCTTCCCAAGCAATACTAGTCACAGAAGATATTCTCAAGTTTGTTTATAGATAGGTGAACTGTTTTCTTCAGTTTATCTACCGATCCAAGACATTTTGGAGGTCTTCCGTAGATGGAGAGTTTTTAAAAAATCTTTTAATGGTCTTCTATTGTTAAAAAAAAACCCTCCAAAGGACTTTTGCAGAATGGCCTTTCATGGACGTATCGATAGATACCTAGATCGGTAGATAAATTGATGGGAGATCTATAAAGATCTTCTAATAAGGGAAACCTTTTAAAGGTATTGTATAGATAAATAGCCTTTCATAGGTCTTTTATTGATATAAGACTTTCAGTTGGTCTTACAACCATAGAAAACGTTTCAAGGTTTTCTGCAGCTATATGACCTTCAAAAGTTCCACCAAAAACAGAAAACTTTCTAAAGCTTTTATATAACTAGAAGTCCTCTTAAAGACCCTTCCATTACACACAAAGGCCTTTAAAAAATCGTCCTTGAAAATACATTTTTAATTTGTCTTCTCTAGAACTAATCGCACATCTGTCATCTCGTGAAGAAATTTAAGAAAAACTCACACATCTCCATAAACTTGGCAATTTTTCGCACAATCGTTCAAAAAAAAAAAAAAAAAAAAAATGTCCACCATACTAACCATGATCGTGGGCCACCACCGCTGATACCAGAAGTGTCAATGACAGACAACACAAATAGCGTGACACCATTATTCCCTTTTGGAATTTTCCCGTAAAGACTGTACAAATTCCTTCTACCGTTTTCACTCCGATATTTTTAGCGAACGTTTTCTGTTTTTTGGCTACTTTAGACCGCCAACGAAATGGCACTAAACGAATTTAGTTAACACGACGTCTTAAGATCTCATGAGCTTGGGCAGGGGTGGTATCAACAACGGAACCACCATTACGGCCATTTCGGACTAATCTTATCGTATCTGAAGGTGTTTTTTTTTCTTCTTTTATATTTTTTGATCTAAGCCACTAGAGTATTTATTTTTTAATCGATCCATCGTAAATTTCTTTGTTTCTAGCCCCCTAATAAAAGTTGGTTGGGTAGTTGATGGGTTCGTTTGTTTGTTTGTTGTGCAACTTATTATCGATTGAATTGTTTGTTTGTGTCTCTGTGCAATTTCGCAGTTTGATGATTATATGACCATTCGGTTGGGATAGTTAGTATAGGTCTATTTAATTGATGTATTATTAATTTGTTGTAGAATTTATGGGATCTGATTTGATTTTCAAATGATAGGGAATTCTGGTGGACACAGTGAAATTAGAGATACCTATTCGGCGTTTTGAGGTTTGATAAGGATCGAAGAGATTGTAGTCTCCCTTTGCATAGAAAATGATGTCCGGTTTGCAAGTCTCAATCACAAGAAAATCAAGGAGTTATTAAAATTAACCTGCAAAAAGTAAAAAAGCTGTAAGTTCGCCCGGGCCGAACTTTGAATACCCTCCACCATTTGATACAAATTTGGCAATTTTCAAAAAAAAAAAAAATAAAATCCGTTAAAAATCCTGTTAACATCTTAAAAATAGCAAATGTAGCCGTATATACGACGACGTGGACCTACACGGACAACTTTTGTCAAAAGCCATTAGAATATTTAAATGCGAAACTATAAGAGAAATCTGTATATAATGTAGCTAAAATCATCAGAATATCGAATATAGGGAGGTACCATGGGGGTTATAAAACGAGGACCTGCACAGACAATTGTCTGGCATGGGCTATAGTATCCATTATGAACTTCAAATACAAAATTTGAAATAGTTCCGGTAAATAATGTCGCTAAAATCATAAAAATACCGAATATCGGGGGGAACCGTTATATGGGGGTTATACGAAGACGTAGACCAAGTTGGCCCATTTTCTGTCTTATGCTGTAGTATTCATTACGAACTTCGAATACCAAATTTGAAACGATTCCGGTAAATAATGTCGCTAAAATAATCAAAATACCGAATATCGGGAGGTACCGTTATATGGGGGCTATACGATGACGTGGATGTGCATTGCCCATTTTCTGTTTTAGGCTGCAGTATCCAGTACAAACTTGAAATACCAAATTTGAAATAGTTTCGATAAATAAAGTCTCTAAAATCATCAAAATACCTGGGGGTACCTTTATATGGGGGCTATACGAAGACGTGGACCTGCACAGACAATTTTCTGGCATAGGCTGTAGTATTCATTACGAACTTCAAATACTAAATTTGAAAAAGTTCCGGTAAATAATGTCGCAAAAATCTTAAAAATACCGAATATCGGGGAGAACCATTATATGGGCGCTATACGAAGACGTGGACCAAGTTGGCTCATTTTCTGTCTTATGTTGTAGTATCCATTACGAACTTCGAATACCAAATTTGAAACGATTCCGGTAAATAATGTCGCTAAAATCACCAAAATAGCGAATATCGGGGGTACCGTTATATGGGGGCTATACGAAGACGTGGACCTACATGGTCCATTTTCTGTCTTATGCTGTAGTATCCATTTCGAACTTCAAGTACCATATTTGAAACAATTCCGGTAAATAAGTTCCCTAAAATCATCAAAATACCGAATGTCGGGAGGTACCGTTATATGGGGGGCTATACGAAGACGTGGACCTACATGGCCCATTTTCAATACCAAAAGTCCTGCAGACATCATACACATTTGAGTAAATTTTTATCAACTTACTTCATTTCGTTCGGAAGCTAGAGTGATTTCACAGACGGACGGTCAGACGGATAGACGGACGGACGGACATTGCTAAATCGACATAGAATTTTATGCTGATTAAGAATATATATACTTTGTGGGGTCTATAATGTATATTTCGAGGTGTTACAAACGGAATGACAAACTTGATATACATACCCTCCATACTATGGCGGAGGGTATAATAATATCAAATAAATACGGGAAAAAATATTAAAAAAATAATAATAAATAAAAAATAAAGATTAAAACTTGCCATAATTTTTTAAAATATTTTTTTTTGTACTCTTCAAATACAACTCTGATTCCAAACATTGCATTTTGGTTCTAATAGCCCTTCTTCTCATACTTTTCATAAAACATTTGCATTTTATCGTAGAACCCACTGTACAGCCCTGATAAGTCACAGCAAATGAGGGCTATTAAATCGAACATAGCTTAAAAATAGATTTCAAAACAATAACATGCCATAAACATCTGCTGTGTCATGTGAACGCTCTCAGGAAAAAGTCCATTGTTTTTTTTATGGAAAAACACGTGAACGATTGCCGCCTTTAAGCACGTTTTGCTCACACAATATTTTCCAATGCAAGAGGTTCGAAACGAAAATAAGATATTTTTAAAACAACAAAACGCCTACAATTCCCATTCAGAAAGTTCTGTTGCCTCATCATACCCTCGCCCCTCATCACCTTAAAAAATACAGTTTTGAACTGAAAATTGTATTACGGAATCATTATGTCTACAAAAATATATAATAGAGAGTTTCTATCTATCGGAGACCCTTGAGGATTCTTATATATATAGCGAGATCTTGAATCCAAAGAAGCGTCTAATAAAATGATTACCTTTAGGATACCTTTAAATGTTTTTCTATCTCTGAGGGACTTATAAAAGACCTTCTCTATATGAAAGTGCCCTTAAGCGTCTTCAGTCTATAGAAGATCCTAAAAAGCAGACACCTTAGCAATTTATGAAAAAAATGACTTCTATATAAATCGTCTATCTATAGAGAGTCCTTAGAAGACCCCAGATCTGTTAGAAACCTTGGGAACACATATTATAAATACAAGGTCATTAAAGGATTTTTAGTTTATAGCCATTTTTAGTTTTAACCATTAAAAAGTTGTCTATTTATAGAAGAGCTTTAATGGGCTTTCTCTCAATAAAAAGATCGTGTATTCATAGAAAAGCTTAAATGGTCATAGGAGATTGTTAAACGGTCTTTAAGTTATAGGATATTTTCAATAGTTTTCCGATCGGTTGGAGGGTTTTAAAGTTTTTATACCCTACACCACAAGGTGGTCAGGGTCTTTGTGCATTTGTTTGTAACAGGCAAAAGGAAACGAGATATACCCATAGTTCCTTTTAATGATCTGCATAGAATCACATTCTGAGTCGATTTATGCATGTCCGTCCGTCCCTCCGTCTGTCCATGTATTTTTGTAAACAAAGTACAGTTGGCATTTATTGCCCCGATCCAGATGAAATTTTGCACAAATCAGTTGTTTGGCCTAAGGACGAACCCTATTGAAATTGAAGATAATCGGTAAAAATTTAGATATAGCTCCCATATATATCTTCGTCCGATTTGCCTTTTATTGTGCACCAAACGTGTAATATCAGCCCGAATAGTATGGAATTTTGCACATGCACAAATTAGGTCTGAAAATAAGTATGCCAAATTTCATTGAAATCGGTTCAGATATATATACTATAACTCCCATATATATTGTTCATCCGATTTGTTATTTTTGTCATTCGCAGCCGTAATATGCACTCTGTAACAACAATATTTGGGGAAATATATCAAATACAGCCCAGAAATACATGTGTCAAATTTTATCGAGATCGGTTCAGATTTGGATATAGCTTCCATATATAACTTCGTCCGATTTACCTTTTATTGTGCACCAAACGTCTAATATTTGCCCAAATGGGATGGAATTTGGCACATACAACGGAATTGAGTATGCCACATTTGGTGGATATCGGTTCAGATATAGCTATATCTCCCATATATATTGTTCTTCCGATTTATTGCATTTATTACCCACAGCTGTAATATGCACTCCGTAACAACGATATTCAGGGAAATATATCAAATACAGCTCAGAAATATATTTGCCAAATTTTACCGAGATCGGTTCAGATTTGGATATAGCTCCCATATATATCTTTATCCGATTTCAAATCAATTATGCATCAAATAGGTAATACAAGTCCGAATTTAAAAGATACAAATGCTTCGGCATATTTAGTCCTTAGAACTTTATAATTATAGCCATAATTATAATTATAGCGTGTATGATTGAATTCTCCCATAAAAACTTTTAATTGTTATGTGGAGCTCTACTAAATTAGCAAGTCGGTCCCGCCCGACTTTGGGACTTTTGTTAATGGTTTTCTTTACCGATTACCAAAATTAATGCTATTTAGTACTTTTCGTACAATACCACCTACATATCTCAATTCCCGATACCAACAGTGACCTCAACATCAAATTTCAAGATTGCAGCTCTATACCTTAACCCAATACCAAATATAGTACCATTCAGTACTTTTCGTACAATTATGGTACATGTTTGCAAAACCACTTCCATTTGTCTGGGCTTCGCATGAACCCTACTACCAAATTTCGAATTTAAAGCACTATCTATTCACCCAGTACCAAATAAAGTACAAATTAGCGATTTTCGTGCACTTGTAGAATACATTTTCAAAAGCACCTCTTTATCGCAAACCTACCACCAAAAGGGACTTCAAATTTCCAAAATTACAGCTTCATCCCTTCAGCCTAAACCAAACTTCACTTCAAATTTAGTACCATTTAGTACAGTTCGCACTCATAGTGCACATTTCCAAAACCTCTTTCATATATCAAACTTAATTCTCCAACCTTGATTCTCATACCAAATTTAGCTCAATTTGTTTAATTACCAGTACCTTTTTAAAATAGAAATTTAAGATTACGAAAATCTTAAATTTTGATTTTCCAAAAAATTTCTCTCTCATTCCAAATTTTTGAATTTTGAGTCATTCTGTTTATCCAGTACAAAGTATTTAACTTTTTATACAATTTAGTACTTTTCGTATCCTTTTAGTACGACTTTCCAAAACCCCAGCCCCAGTAAAATTTCAAGAC